TTGACTTATGTTGTGTGCGGTAAAGTATCACTTTTTGCATTTATTCGATAGATAATCTGAAAGTTTAATAAAATAAAAATCTTAATTGGAACAGTCTGATGATTTTTAAGACCAAAACCTATCTAGCAAAAAGGTTTCACAAAATGGTAAATTCGTTACTAACTTTAACTTTAACTTTGCTTATATATTTATTTGTTCCAAAGATTCTGATTTTTACAAGGCAACAAATTGCCTTTAACGCCTGCGCCCTTTTGTCCTATGTAGATCCAGGGCCCATGACCCTACCTCAACAAATCCAGACGTGTTCGTATTTTTATCAGTCAATAAAATATATTTAGCCCTTTATTTAGGGCAACTATATAAATAGAAAGCAATAATGGATTTTGTGTTTCTTTTGGGATGTCTCCTCGACAGACGTTTTTAGTGATTTTTTTTTTTGAGGTGTTATGGCTTGGAAAATATTTGAGGTGAGTGATTTTTTTCATTAGAAAGAAATAGTTCAATAACATCAAAGTGCGTGCTTGTTATACCTACTGTATGAAATTATATCAAAAAAACTCAATTTGATTATTCTTTATGACGTAGGTACTGTGGGTAAATACGTAGAGAAAAGGTCAATGACAAAAAAGGATTTTCCTTTCAACATTATTATTTAATTGATTTTTAATTTTTTAGTATAGCATGTTTAAGGGCGAGTGAATAGGGGGAGAAAGCATATTTTATGCACCCTTTCTTAAACGTAAACTCACCATCAAGTAATAATAATTATTGATTTTCACATTGAAAAATAAGTTAGATCTAGGGAACTTGCACATCAAATTAAATATGGAATAAATAACAAAACACAATAACAATCATCCTGATAAATGGTGCAATTAGGAAAAAAGTTTAATATCTTATCTCTGGTGTCCAAAATCTTCAATTGAAAATACCAAATAATTCGAAATTCATGACGCGATTAAAAACGTATTTCTATGGGTCGTGACGTCACAAGGCAGTAATAATCGGGTCGTGCCGCTGCCACGTCATGTGTTGCTGGTGTCGCAAATGTCAAATCTATCAAAAACTGCATACATAACAACATAACCATAATCTTAATCTACCTGCTTGAAGTTCGAAGTGCTCGTCACCGTGATCGGAAATTTGTTGCCGAGTGACGTCACACTGATCGGTCGTTTCAAATGGCGATGTTTCGAGCGTAACTTCAAATATTTATAAAAAATTAACGGCTGATTTTTAATGCCTGATATTTGGCATGACTATGTCTTTAGTGAAGTAGAACACATTTTTGAATTAAAAAAAAAAAATGTGCAAGTTCCCTATTGTGCAGTTTGGAACATCCTTGTGTTCAGGTAAGAAATTCACCTAAAACGTGTGGTTTTTGAACTAATGAGAAAAACACACAACTGAGAGAATCAAGTTAGTATTGTACTTGAACAACATATTGGTGAATAATCCAAAGTCCACTCATAAGTTCCGCAATAATCCACTTGTTTGTAGTTGAATAATTTGTCACATTATGTTACTAGTTTGGTAAAGTAACATTGCTAATTTCTGTTAAAAGGCAAAATGACAAAAAGTTGATAATTTTATAAATTCTGGACTTTATATAATAAGTTATTGTTCAAGTACAAATAAATGGATTGTTGCGGAACTTATGGGTGGACCTCTGCGGGACGAGCGCAGCGAGTTCCGCAGCCATCTACTCACCAATATACTGTTGAACTGTTCAGGTAAGAAATTCACTTAAAACGTGTGGTTTTTGAACTATTGAGAAAAACACACAACTGAGAGAATCAAGTTAGTATTGTACTTAAACAACATATTGGTGAATAAATGGCTGCGGAACTCGCTGCGCTCGTCCCGCAGAGGTCCACCCATAAGTTCCGCAGTAATCCACTTGTTTGTACTTGAATAATTTGTCACATTATGTTACTAGTTTAGTAAAGTAACATTGCTAATTTCTGTTAAAAGGCAAAATGACAAAAAGTTGATAATTTTATAAATTCTGACTTTATATAATAAGTTATTGTTCAAGTACAAATAATTGGATTGTTGCGGAACTTTTGGGTGGACCTCTGCGGGACGAGCGCAGCGAGTTCCGCAGCCATCTACTCACCAATATATTGTTGAACTGTTCAGGTAAGAAATTCACTTAAAACGTGTGGTTTTTGAACTAATGAGAAAAACACACAACTGAGAGAATCAAGTTAGTATTGTACTTGAACAACATATTGGTGAATAATCCAAAGTCCACTCATAAGTTCCGCAATAATCCACTTGTTTGTACTTGAATAATTTGTCACATTATGTTACTAGTTTGGTAAAGTAACATTGTTAATTTCTGTTAAAAGGCCAATTGACAAAAAGTTGATAATTTTATAAATTCTGACTTTATATAATAAGTTATTGTTCAAGTAAAAATAAATGGATTGTTGCGGAACTTATGGGTGGACCTCTGCGGGACGAGCGCAGCGAGTTCCGCAGCCATCTACTCACCAATATATTATTGAACTATTCAGGTAAGAAATTCACTTAAAACGTGTGGTTTTTGAACTAATGAGAAAAACACACAACTGAGAGAATCAAGTTAGTATTGTACTTGAACAACATATTGGTGAATAAATGGCTGCGGAACTCGCTGCGCTCGTCCCGCAGAGGTCCACCCATAAGTTCCGCAGTAATCCACTTGTTTGTAGTTGAATAATTTGTCACATTATGTTACTAGTTTGGTAAAGTAACATTGCTAATTTCTGTTAAAAGGCAAATTGACAAAAAGTTGATAATTTTATAAATTCTGACTTTATATAATAAGTTATTGTTCAAGTACAAATAAATGGATTGTTGCGGAACTTATGGGTGGACCTCTGCGGGACGAGCGCAGCGAGTTCCGCAGCCATCTACTCACCAATATACTGTTGAACTGTTCAGGTAAGAAATTCACTTAAAACGTGTGGTTTTTGAACTAATGAGAAAAACACACAACTGAGAGAATCAAGTTAGTATTGTACTTGAACAACATATTGGTGAATAAATGGCTGCGGAACTCGCTGCGCTCGTCCCGCAGAGGTCCACCCATAAGTTCCGCAATAATCCACTTGTTTGTAGTTGAATAATTTGTCACATTATGTTACTAGTTTGGTAAAGTAACATTGCTAATTTCTGTTAAAAGGCAAATTGACAAAAAGTTGATAATTTTATAAATTCTGACTTTATATAATAAGTTATTGTTCAAGTACAAATAAATGGATTGTTGCGGAACTTATGGGTGGACTTCTGCGGGACGAGCGCAGCGAGTTCCGCAGCTATCTACTCACCAATATACTGTTGAACTGTTCAAGTAAAACATTCACCTGAAACGTGTAATTTTTGAACTAATGAGAAAAACTCACAACTGAGAGAATCAAGTTAGTATTATACTTAAACAACATAAGGTGATAGTTCCTCAATACTAAAACGATGAAATGTTATTTTTTTTCGCTGAGATTTAGTATTATAATGGTCCTTTAATGAGACCCCCCAAACTACAAACTACATACACCGAATTATTCTGAGATTTGAAGCCCGATTCTATGAAAAAAGGCACTCAGAAAAATTGAAAAATTGATAATTCACCCCAAATTCCTTAACACGATTTTATTTCGGGAACTATAAGTCCAAATGAGCTAAAATTTTCAGTGACTGTATGTAGTCTTCTATCTTTAACAAAAAAAAATGTATAATCTTTCGAAGATTTCCAAAGTCTAAATCATAAGGCACCATATCATATTGTCTCTAAGAATAATAGAAAGTTCTCGTGCCTCAGAAGCTACGCTAATACGGTACCGCTAAAAATACGGTATTTTAGATGGTATTTTATAGTTCTCGGACACGAAGACAAAAACATCCTCTAATCCCTTATTCTCTTTACATTTTCACAGCTGAGTTGAGTGATCTAACCCAACAATTCTGAAGATTCCAGAGTTTCATTAATTTTCCCTTGGTGTTTTTTATGGAGGAATTATTAGAAGTTGCTGTTCTTGCAAACGTAAATGGAGTTTAAACTAATTTTGACACGTTAGGTAGCGGGCCCTGCTAACGCTAATACCGTAAAAACTGTCATACTTGTCAAATAACGTTACGGTATTGGAAATTTGGATAGCACGAGAAGTCTCTAATAATTCATCTACGTAAACCATAAAACCCATTGACTATCAGCTCCAATTAACACGTATCAAGTTTATAGAGCACCCCAAAACCGCTGCATTCTCGATTTTAATTAACCAATGACGTAACAACTACCAATTACCGCCTCGTATTATATTAAATAAATTACTTGTTAAAGATTCAGCAGTGTTGAAAATTCGCCTCTGCAAAATTTAGAAATATCAAAGAATAAAACTTTGATGTATTCCAGGTACTTTTATATAATTTTTGATTGCTTCTCGCCTACAAACAGTTCATTTTCTTTACGTGAAAAGAGGGATTTTATGGAAAAAAAAATTGTATTCTCAGTTTTGATGGGATAAAATATTATTATTAGCTTTTCAACATTAAAACTCTCATAAGGGAGATTATTTTTAACTTATCCAGACTCGTTGCAGAACGTTCACCCCTTACTAAATTAAACTTGTCAACCGTGGAACTTGTTTAATAAAAAACAAAGAAGAAAGAACCCTGCAAGTTGAGTAAATTATAGTATTATTTTGTTCTTATTTTAAAAGAAATTATCTGTGTTGTTTTACTTAATGTATTTTCCATCTTATCTATACAAAATTATGAACAAAACATTGTAGATAATTTTTTTATATGACAGGTAATAATATACCATATATAAATATATAAAAACTCTAATAAATTTGGGTTTGCATTATCTAATAATACATGGTGTAATTAAAAATATTTATTAATGCAATAATTCATAACAGAGGAATTTTTAAATTGAAAAAAAAAAATTGTGATAATAATGAAATATTAACAATTTAACAAAAAATTAAGTAGTTTTTGAAAAAAGTTTTAAGCTACTTACTTATGCATGCCAGTATAAAACTGTTATTCAAATCCTAAACAAGGAAAATGATTAATCTAAGAACTATTATGATTCTAATTGCTTGTGGATTGATTTTACAAAATGTCATTCCGGTTAAAGGTAAAAATTCAATTCCAAAGTATTTTTTGTAAAATTTGTTTTCAGGGCAAGGGCTTTTGGACATACTACTTATCCCGGTTGAACTTGTGTTAGATGTGCCCAAGGTTATTTTAGAATTATCAGGGTAATAACTATAAATTTTATATTAGAAACAATCAATATATTGTTGCTTTTAGTCCTTTAACAGGTCCAGCTGTAAAAGCTCTTAAAGAAATTCTTGGGACAGCTAGTAAAGGTTTGCCCTTGAATCAAGATCAAGTGCAGAACCTTTTGAAAATTTTGGACGTGGATAGTATTTTGGATTTAGGTGACAGTGGATTGGACAAACTTTCATCGGTTCTTGATGTAGACCAAATTTTGGACGTTGAAGGATTACTTGATGGCGATTCTTAACACCTTGTAATGACTACATCATTATTTTATTGATTGGTTTTATCATTTATTTGAAATTAAAATACTTGGAATACGTCAAAGCTTTATTATTTGGAAATTTCTAATTTTGCAAAGGCGAATTTACAACATTGCTGAAAATAGAAATATACATATAAAGTCTATGCACCGAGAGTTTACCCCTAAATCGTAAAACACGGCATGGCTATAAATCATGCGAAATATAAAAAGAGGACGGGTTCTACCTAAAATTTTTAAAATATTTTGTGGTCAAGAAATTTTGTGAAGAAATATAATTTTTACAGATATGTATTTACATTTCGTATTTATTTAAAATCCAATATATTCATCTAATGCTGAGTATAGATTATTATACTTTTATTATTATTATTATTATTATTACATATTGTTTACAAGTGAAACATAATTATTATCTAACTTAACACAAAATTTTGTTTTGTTTGGGAAGCACTGGAATTTCGGTATAAATCTTGTTCAAAAACTTTGACAGGCCCTATATTAAGTTACTTGAAAATATAATTTTGTCAAGTCATATTTTGTCATGGAGTAAATTTTAAATAGGCAACTACTCTATAGACATTGATTTTCGCCGTAGGTAACTCAAAAACTTTAAAATTAGTTTGAAAAAGAACTTGAAATAGAACTAAATGTAAATTCGTTCACTTGGTCTTGTAGTAATTTATTGTCAGCCCTGTGTTTTACAGCTTATGGGTAACCTCTGCATGCACAGACTTTAAATTTTTCTTAAGTAAATTGAGACATTTTTGTTATCAACATTACAGAAAACTTGTGCATACTTTGAACATTTTTTGATATGGAGAATCCGCAATGATTTATGAATGAGTACACAATCCGCCTTTGCTTTGGCGCCGCGACGCTCTTACGCCCACTCGCGACGCTTCAAACAGTGTCGCACGTAAATTTCCACCAGTCTAGTCGTTTTCAACCGCGCGTCGGGCTGCTTTGTTTTTTAAATTCCCCATACAAAAATAAAGAAGCACGAGTCAAAGTGCATTTGCATGTTAAAATTGTTATTTTGCTTTATCAGCAACAATTTATATTGTTTTTGTCGATTTTGATGCTTTTAGTTGAAATGAATAAATAAAGTGTTGCGGCAGTATTATAGTTGAAGTGGACAAAAATATTATTATAGAAAAATTCCAGTGAAAATTACAATTATTTGGTCTAAGACACTACTGTGACGCAATGGCCTTGTGGTCATTATTAACACTGTCTCATTATATTACGTTGTTGCATTTCAATTTTCAATTTTGACCAATGCTTAGTTTTCAATAAAAATAAATTCTCAGAAAAAACGAAAGTAAAATGCAACACGCTAAAGTTGATCCTCTTCAAGATGTTGCTTATAATGAAGTGCAAGGTGAGTGTCATTTAGTTTAAATAATTCAAACACAAACCTAATTAGAATGGAAGTTGCAACAATGAATAAGGATGCATTCTAATTATAAACTTATAGACTTCGTGCACAGACAGCAAAAGTTATATTTTCATTATGTCTTGGCTGGGTCGAAATTACCATTTAACGGTTAATATACCTACTAAAATAGAAATAATGACATATTTAAACCACTACTAGACCAGCAGAATTATGACAAAAGATAAAACATAAATAAATAATATTGTCTATTTTAATAGACTTTCGAGTAGTTACCTAAGGTTCATTTCACGAAAGTTTGTACTTATGACATCGACAATGTCATAATTTAATGATTTATATAAATTCAATAGCGTTCAAATGTTGTATTGTATTAAATGACTTCTGGTTAGTTCTTTCAATAATTTTATACGCTTTTATTTTTTACATAAAAAGTGAATTGTTGATAATTTAAGCAACAATTCTGTGATTATTTATTCAACACCCACTGAAACGCGCGAGCGAGTGTTTCGTACCAATTTTGATAAAATATTCTCTTGTTGATATTTTTTATATTATAATACAAGGTGTTGTTAGATAAACTGACACATTTTTCAAGCAAATATCTTTTTTTGAAGTAAAATTACTGTCTTATTTTTTATGTATATTTTTTAGATATACAGGGTAGTCCAACAAGCGCGCCTCGGTCAATAGTAGCCAAACCGTTGAACTTATGGAAAAATGTTCTGTATAAAAGTTTTAGCATTTCATCTCTGCTATAATCTAAAATTATTTTCAAGTATATTAAAAAAGAGTAATCACAAATTTTATGTTTTTTTTGTATGTGTGTTGAATGTAGCGTTGCCAAGCTATGATTTTTCGAAGAAAAAAATAGACCAAAACTTACTTTTTTGAAATTGTCATATCTCCGCCACTGTACATTAATTACCCTTGACAATTTACATGTAATATAATGTTAGCCTATATTATTTTCATTTTTCGATTTAAGTTTGTAGGGTGTCTAATAAAATATTTGTCCAAACAAGTCAATTTTCAAGTCAATTTTAATTGAGTTTTTCAAATACAACACCCTGTATATTATTTTTCTATTGAAAAGCTGAAAATTTCCTCTTTCAGAAAATATCATATTTGCTTTATCTATCTCATTAATATTTTGAGATATTAAGATTTTCTCTTAATTTTACACAAAAAACGGTAAAAAGTAAAGTAATTTGGTAGTTTTACCTGGAAAGTTTCCGGGAGTATTGAAAATTTTATAGGTTTAGACGTGTTCTTTCCGAATTTCTACTTTGCCACCTCGTATTTTTGCCGTTCGCGCTGCCATATTGAAAAGTTTCGCCAAAAAACACAATATCTCCTTTCCTTCTCACTAACATGAAAATATAGTTATGTAATATCTAAATTAAACTAGAGAAAAATGTCCTTCAATTAACCCTTTTATTCTGTAAAATGAATAGTTATAGAATAACACCAATATGTGTTTGTCGTATAGTATCGTATTGAGAAAAACCACCTGTTTAAAATATTATTTCTTAAAATCTTAACTTTTTAAAAAAACTTTTACTGAATAAAAGTAAATGTTGCAACCATGTATGCGTCCTCAAGTTTAGGATTGAAAGAGCGCGCCTGTTAAAACTTATATTTTTTAGAATGTAATATTTGTATTTTTTGCTAATAATGGCAACACTGTATGTCACTAGAAATCAAGAGGCAACTGTAATTTCAAGGCTAGTTATAGTGACTGTGGGTACTCTAGTTAGTTAGATAAATAAAATGGAGTCACAGCAATTTTCGGCTCTCTAGAAAATTCGTCTATTTTTTGATTTACCCTTCAATTTTGTGGTCAATTCAGAAGAAAAAATTAAATTAGTTGAACCAGCAATATTTACAAAAACAGCGCCACAGAAAACGAAGGTACCGAAACCGAAAAGGATACAAGAGAATACGCAACTAAACTACAGAACGAGCTGGACTGGTCCCTTAGAAAACGTGTCGCGTGTCTGTAATTATTCATTATTCAATTTTCATTTTTATTTTGATTGTTCAAGCCAATTTGTTATTAGTGTGTGTGTAAGAAGCGTTCACAGGTTAGTTGATTAATTATTATTTTTTTTGTGAGAGTTCAATTTATACAAATATCATTTTTTCCATTTTTATGTTTTTTTGTTTGTTTATAACATTTTTGCATTGTTCATGTATTTAACAAAAATCGTTCCATGCTGTAAACAACACCGATAAAGAAGTAAATTAAAACCTAAGAAATTATGTGCTGTCTTTTTGTGCTGAGATTTTGATTTTGTGTATTCAGAACGCGCATTAGGGCCTTGTTGAATTTACTAACATTTTCCTACCCTGACGAGAGAATATCCTAGCAAATTGAGAAAAATCAATCTAGAGATATTGGCTCAAAAACAACTATAGCTGTGAGTTACCGTAACCAGGGACCTCAGTACCTGCCACAGATGGGCTAACTAACCAAAAACTCTTCAGTATTAAATACAGGTAGGTAGTGTTGATTGAATGTAGTGTGTGTAATTAAAATTTTAGTACAAGAACAGGGGCGGTACCTAGTTTCAACTTTTATTGAATTAATGACTAAACCTATAAAATTTTGAAAACTCCCGAAAAACTTTGGAAAATCTTAATATCTCAAAATATTAATAAGATAAATACGGCAAATAGGATATTTTGTGAAAGAGGACATTTTCAACTTTTCGATAGAAAAATAATATACGGGGTGTTGTATTCGAAAAACACAATTAAAATTGACGTGTTTAGACAAATATTTTGGACACCCTGTAAAATTAAATCGAAAAATGAAAATAATGTGGGAGCAACTAGGCTAACATTACATGTAAATTTTCGAGCAAAATTAATGTAAAGTGGCGAAGATATGACAATTTCAAACAAGGAAGTTTTGATCTATTTTTTTATTCGAAAAATCATAACTTGGCAACGCTGCATTCAACTCAAATATGATTTTAAAGTCGAATGCAGAGCACATAGAGGCTTCATTTTTCACATAAAAACATACGGTATTCCATAAAAAAAAAACATAAAATTTGTGATTACTCTTCTTTGAGACATCCTGTATACTTGAAAATAATTTTGGATTATATCAGAGATGAAATGCTAAAACTTTTATACAGAACATTTTTCCATAAGTTCAACGGTTTGGCTACTATTGACCGAGGCGCGCTTGTCTGACTACCCTGTATGTACTTTTACATGAATGAATGCACGAATTTACAATAATTGATTTTTTGGAGAAATTCATGAATTTATAATGTACAGGGTGTTTTTAATATATTGACACCCCACTCCACGCCTTTACTTTTACAGGTAGAAGAAAGGTGTAAATACCAGCAATCTATTCATCAATATGTTGTTTAATTACGATACTAAACTAACTCACTCAAATGTACATTATTATCATTAAATTAAAAATTACACGTTTCAGGTAAATATCTTATTTGAATAGTTCAACAGTATATTGGTGATTAAATGGCTGCGGAACTCGCTGCGCTCGTCCCGCAGAGGTCCACCCATAGGTTACGCAACAATCCACTTATTTGTACTTGAACAATAACTTATTATATAAAGTCAGAATTTGTAAGATTATCCACTTTTTGTCAATTCGCCTTTCAACAGGAATTAGTAATGTTATTTTCCCAAACTAGTAATATATAGTAACAAGTTGTTCAAGTACAAACGAGTGGATTGTTGCGGAACTTATGAGTGGCCATCTATTCACCAATATGTTGTTCAAGTACAATATACTAACCTGATTCACTCAGTTGTGAATTCTTTTCATTAGTTCAAAAACTACACGTTTCAGGTGAGTGTCTTATCTTAACAGTTCAACAGTATATTGGTGAGTAGATGGCTGCGGAACTCGCTGCGCTCGTCCCGCAGAGGTCCACCCATAAGTTCCGCAATAATCCACTTATTTGTACAGGGTCTTTTTTCATGTATTGATGACCCACCTACAGCCTTCACCTTAACAGGTAGAAAAAAGATGTAAATACAAAAGTTGTACAGTTTTGGTTGAATTTTTAGAAACCAATGGTCAGAAACAAAATTTGAATGTCAGAAATGTGGAATTTTGCATACTTCCAGCTTTTTTCAAATGGGATGCCCTATATTTTATTTTATATTCTTGAAGAGCACAATACCCGCCCGATTCCAAAAATATATAGTTTGTCTATATTTGATTGAAAAGTCTCTCATATATTCGGCTCCAAAAATTGTAAAAATAATATCCTACTACTGATTTTGTGAACCATTCTACCTGTACAGGTGAAAGCTGCACGTAAAATTTGAGGTACATACTTAATTTCTCTGATAGTATTTTTAAAATTTTTAGAACCAAATATGTTGGAGACGGCTCAACCAAATATCGGGAAATTGTGTTCTTCAAAAATATATAACTAAATATAGCGCATCCCATTTTAAAAACGCCGAAAGCATGCAAAATTTCACATTTCTGACATTCAATTTTTGTTTCTGGCCATGGATTCTAAAAATTTAGCCAATATATACTGTACAATTTTTGTATTTACACCTTTCATCTACCTAGTTATAAAGGTGTTACTTTTTGGCATTGATTTTTCAGCGACGGATAGTACAGTCGTGAGTATAAAAAGTGGGGCACCCGACTGACAGGTCCTGTCAATTTTCGCTATTTTGGGTAAATCCGTCTTTTCTCTACAATGGATTTTTTGTTAAATATGAAAGTCCCTGTCATTGCCGTAGGTATAGCTGATGAGCTCGTTTTACAATAGAAAAAAACGGGTGTCTAACTTTTTATGCTCATCACTACTGTACACTTGGCCAAACATAAAAGTGTTACAGGCAATATATACTTTTTAAATTTGCCTAGTGTGAGTCAGGCTTAACAACAAAAAATCTGTGCTGAAAAACTTAGGTCCAATGAACTATAGCCTAAAACTGGAATGCGCGCACATTGCCATATCTGCCCAAAAAATGAAGCCATGAAAGACAGATGCCACAAGGGGGAATGTTGTTTTTTTCTGTTGCTCGCTGACATATGACGTTTTCGAAAGTTTTGTCATATTTTCCTTCACAGGTTTCATCAATTGGAATACGTGTTGGAAGCAATTTTCGCCATTTAACATAATGAGTGCGACAAAAACAGGTATCCCCTCCGCAGCAGCTGCACTAGGCTTCACGTTCTTCCTTATGTGTTAGCATTCCAGCTTTTAGTTATAGTTCATTGCTTAGGTCAGACAGTTTTTGTCAACGTCAAAGCTGAACTGACTTGACACTTTTTGTCATTGTTGAGGTGATAAAAAAGGTCGATTTACACAATAAAACAAAATAGGAAAATGCCGTAATGTGTCAGAATTTTACTACTTTGACACACAGGTAATTTCAAAATGGTGTCAAAATGAAAGATCAGTGGTGAACATCATAGTTTTGAAAAATTATTACAGGGTAACACAAAATATTCGTACACCACTGCCCGAAATAGATTTTTTGGTTGAAATTTTGACTCAATACGAGGGATGATATTAAAGAAGTATAGTATGTGCCAATTGCAATGATTCCCACTGTATATAGAAATAAATATCGTATAAGTACCTATACAAAAAACTATATGCGCACGAATATAAAACCCGCTGATACAATACAATAAGCACTTCACTACACTACACCACACTTTCTGTACTGTACTTTCTACATTGCACTTTCTGTACTTTTTTTACTGCTTTTTTGTATACTACTTTCTGCATTACACTTTCTATACTGTATTTTCTTTACTACACTTTCTATCTGCAATGCACTTTCTGAACTGCACAAAATACTAATTCTAAATTTTGAATGCGTTCTTGCAATCCTGTATTGAAAATAATTATGTCGTCCATATAGACTGTTTTGGAGTTCTTTTAGGACTTTGTAACTGGTGGAAAGTGGAGGGGGCATTTTTTAATCCGAAGGGCATTCGTAGGTATTCATAATGTCCATTATCAACTGTAAAAACAGTTTTTTCAATAGAATCTTTTTCTATTTCGATTTGATGAAAGCCGCTAGCTAGATCGAGCGTCGAAAAATATTGAGCTCTACCTTACCTGTCTAGGATATCGGGAATTGGATATTTATCATTAATTGTTTTAGCATTTAGGTTTCTATAATCGCAAACAGTTCTCCATTTTACTTTACCCGAAGCGTCCATTTTCTTTGGCACAATCCAAATTGGACTTGACTGTCACTTGACCACGGACTACAGGATAGACGTATTAATGCCGTGAGTTTATCGCCTGATTTTAAGAATATATCCGAATAATCATTACATAATTGAGGTGTTCGGTTCTCAATAAAGGATGGATGTTTTCATTATTATGTGGGAGATCAGATTTTTGGATCGAAGAATGGAAATGATCCAATTTACAACAGTTGATTTTCTGGAGAAATTCATGAATTTATAATGTACCATCGTCATCAAAAGTAGCTGGGACAAAAATAATTCATAATAATCTCCTGGACTAATTCTACAGTCATTCATTTCAATGCATTTGATTCATAGTTTCACAAATATTTGACAATAAAATTTATATAATAGTACAAGAGCTAATATGATGCTGTCCCAGTTACTTTTTGGTGACGATGTAAGTACCTACACGAAAAACTATATACACTACACACTACACTTTCTGCACTGTACTTTCTGCACTATACTTTCTGCACTGTACTTTCTGCACTATACTTTCTGTGTCGCACTTTCTGCACTACACTTTTTGCATTACACTTTTTGTACTGCACTTTCTCTACTGATTTTTTTATACAGCACTTTCTGCAGTACCTACACTTTCTGTATTACACTGTATTTTCTGCACCACACTTTCTATACTGCCCTATCTGCAATACATTTCCTGCACTGCACTTTTTGTACTGCACTTTCTGCAAAACTTTTTTACACATAGTTGACGTTTACATCAATATGTTTTATTGTTTTCAGGTGATTCTGGCACTCTCACAGTCTTCTCGAGAGGCACCGCCTCGCCGTCGGCAGCCGCCGAGGGCGTCCTGCACCGCCAATGGGTCACGCTGACCGCCGGCATGTGGCCGCCCGCCGATCCTTCTAGTCATCAGCCGCTCGTGCCCCAAGTCGCCGCCGGGCGACTGCCCGTTTTGGCCGCGGTCTTTTGCGGGGTCGCCCTAGTGGTCGCCCTTTTGGGCGCCTGTTTGCTGTACTGGTGCTGTCTCATGATGCCGCGAAAGGATAACAAACACTATTGTCAGTATTTTTGCATTTGAAAACAGCCCTGTTGCAACCGACATAAGAACCGTAATTTCTAGTCGATCAATTCATTTTTAAGTAGGATAAATGTTCAATTTATTGAAAAATAGGTGGGTAACTGGAAATTACTGGTTCTCATGTCGGTTGGAACAGAGCTGTTAATATTGATTTTTGCTTCCAAGAGATTTTTCTCTCGCCTACTTATAATAACCGGCGGGAAATGGGTCCTTTTGTTTTACGCTAATGAACAAACTTTCCAGGATTATTATTATTATTTTTTTAATATTTCACCCACATCCTACAGCTACTGAAAAGTGATTTACAGGGAACTTTTTTCTATTGTCCCTTCTCTAGCTTTCTTGAACTTGTAGCAAAACGCCCCAAATACTCTATGTAATTAGTTAGATGGTATATTGATGGTGTTTATTTACTTGGAGCTGCTACCTAAAATCTGTGGAAGGGTCTATTTGCAAGAGAGAGAAACAAACTATTGAGGTGTACTAAAATTATATTTTATTATACATAAAACCCAAAAATTTAAATCAGCAAAATATCTTCCAATTCTGACAGCCTCATCTATTTCTTTAAATTCAATTACTTCACATCCGTTCTAAAATTGTTATTATAACGGACCACTGAAGTATCCCTACTAAATAAGAAACGCCCTATTCCTACTATTCCTAATAACTTATATAAGTTAACTCATTTCAACACTTCCGATTCATTCCTATTAACTACCCTTCACCTATTTCTCTAAATTCTTTAAAATTTCGAAGTCCTATACTGACTGCTTATGAAAACCCAAAATAATTACCTATTTGTTCATCAATATAGCTATTACTAACTTATTCTTATAAAAACCATTACAATAATTTCTACTTAAAAAATAAAAATCCTAATTCAAAATTCATTTCATGAACAACAATTTTCCAATATTTTAAGACAATTCTATTTCATGAACATCAAGTTTCTTTTCAAAATTTCCTATTGCAGTTAATAGTTTATCAGAACAAATTCCTATGCCTAGCTAATAAACCCAACTGTTTAATTCATAATCCCTACTCAAAATTGTATATTGGTAAGTGCATTATAAATTCCCTTCATATTTTTGGTGCAAAATTAAATTAGAATGTCATTATATCTGAAGGCAATTAAAGTTATGCAATAATGTTCCATTTTCAAAACACTCGAGTTATTGATATTTATGCAATAAAGTTCCACAGTTAATTATAAAATCAAAAGTTTTTCTAGTAAAAATCACTCAAGTTTTTAGGCATTAAAAGTCATTGTTAATTCACTTCTTATCATTCAGAATTATTGATAAAAGTCAGAAAATTATTAAACACTAAAGTACTTACATTTTACTTTGCACACGTAAAATTACTTAATTAATCACTCAAAATTTTCAGTTAGCACGCACATAAATGTTGACGAATTTAATTGTTCTTTATTTCAAAATTTTCCGCTACTTTTTCAAAGACTGTTACCGAGGCAATACAAGAAACTTTCCGGACTGACACTTTAGGTACTGTAGATTTTAACTCAAACTGGACAGGACTGCGAACTCATCTCTCAACTGACAAATGCCTTCCACTTCTAAAACCGCGGTATTTATATTAAATCGATCCCTCCAAATTTCTTTGTCCATGACAATTAAGATGATGCAATTTCCTTGAAATTTTTATCATTTTTAGTCTAAAAAATCGAATAATTATGTCGCAATATCCTGATTTATCGAGGTCAAAACATTATTGGTTCAAGAATGCCATAAATCATCAAATTAATTACTTGACCTCGTTCTTTTAAGTGCATTGACACAGGCTTGATGACGAAACACCTAATATAATATTAAACGTTAATTTGTTTCCTTTTTAATTTATTGATACTGATTTGGAGATACCGGAAATTCTTTTTGATTATTTGACATTTATTAAATTTTTACAATAAAGACATTGTGATTTATGGATCTATTTTCTCGGAATATTACAAACTTAAATGCACTGATTCAAGATTTTTAAGTAGGTGGTAGAGAGAGTTTTCTCGTGACTTACCAGTACGACAAATGACACATGACATTTGGCTTAAATTAATCACGTTTCATGTATAGAAAATTCAATTGTCAAATAATTTATACAAGATTCAATGACGTAGCTTGATTAATAAGAAAGTTGTGACATTTTAAAATTATCGTTGAAAAAAATAAATATCCGCCATTTTGGTTTACGTCAATGTCAATTATATGCTTCTTCAATGTCAAATGACAAATTCAAATTTTGATTATTCCCGGCTCTTGAAATTTTTGTCTCTTATTGTTTGTCTTTTTTCAATCAATAACATCAAAGACCAAGGTTCCAGGTTGCTTGGTAATAAGTAACTTGATGACGCATCTGGGGTGCTTTATGGAAATTTGCATTATGTTAAAGTATACAAATGACGTCATAAAAGTTATCAAACAACCTCGTTTTAAACAACCTTCATCAAAGACAATGTTTTTTTTTTAAAATCAATGTTGGCCTTAGTTGTTTATCTTCGTCCTTTTTCAATTAATATTATTAAAAAGAGACGGCTAAACTCTGTGACACAATACTGAATCAAGTAGGCCTTGCATTCGCCCAATCAAATGTCAAGAAATAGACGTTTCCAAAAATTAACCAAACCATACCGTTGCGACATAGGTGGCTTCTTTTATCGAGACAAATAGATATTTTTCATCAAGTCCCTGTCAGAAAATTCAAAATGACAAATTCGAATTTCGAATTTTGATTATTCCCGGCTCTTGAAGTCGTGAAAACGCAAACAATAATTAATGTCATTTAGTCATTTATTTGTCTTGTTATCTTTTTCCAATCGATACGATCAAACAAAGACAGTGAAAACACTTTCAGTCAAGTTGACCATGTATTTAGGCAGGAAATGCTTAGCTTTCTGTCATAATCCTTCATCAAGTAGGCCTTGTAGGTATTTAAGAATTTACCAAATCAAATGTCAATAGATGGGCGTTTCCTAAAATTAACCAAAACATACATACATTTGTGATATCAGTGCCCTCTTTTATGAATTTGTTTCGATCCTTTTCCAATCAATAATATTGAAAAGAGACAAATAGACAATTTTAATCAAGTTGGCCATGCATTTACAACAACTGTCAAACTTTCTAAATCAACAAATTATACAGTCAATTGAAGGCGATTAACCAGTCGGTTATATTGACAGATAAACAATGCATTTAACGTCATTACTTATTTGTCAACTATAACCGACCAGTTAATCGCCTTTATTCGATGTTTTTTAAAGATTTTATGAAGTTAATCCAATCAAATTGAATAACAACAATATTAATTATTCGACAGTGGCAACAATGTAGCCATTTTGTTGGCCATCCTTTTTTAATTGTTGACATTAAAAAGAGACAAACGAACTTTCTGGCAGAACTTCTTATCAAGACCACGAATTTATACCAAAAATTAACCAACCCAAATCTTAGAAATGGCCTCAAAAGCCAGGAAAATTTGCAAACAACCTTTTTGCAAGTTACTTACTGCATTAAAATTGAAAATCGGCAACGTCGAATTACAAACATTGTTGACAATTCAGTTGGCAACACTGGATGCATTGATAACTGCCAACATTTTCTAATTCTAGAGCCAAAACAATATTTTTAAACATTTGGCAACACTGCGGGCTAGAAGAAGTCTGACACCATTTTAAATACCGAAGGAAATTGAAAAATTCCCATTTAAAGAGTCATGAATATGATTTTAAAAAGTATTTCGTATACAGTAAGAAAAATCATTCTTTATTGGCAACATAGCAAAAATTCCCGGCTCTTGAAGTAGGGAAAACGAAAGCAATAATTATTTGTCTTTTTCCAATCAACAACATCAAACAAAGACAGTGAATTTTTTTTCAATCAAGTTGGCCATGTATTTTTTTCGTTTATCTTTGTCCTTTTTCAATTGATAATATTAAAAAGAGACGGCTAAACTTTTTGACACAATCCTTCATCAGGTAGGCCATAGCATTCACCCAATTAAATGTCAAGAAATGGACGTTTCCAAAAATTAACCAAACCATCTGGTTGCAATATTTGTGCTTTTTTTTTATCGATTTTTGTCGGTCTTTTTAAAAAGAGACAAATAGAGACTTTAGCTCAAGTTGGCCATGCATTTACAACTGTCAAAAATCAGTGGCAACAAAGTAGCCATTTTGTTGACCATCCTTCTTTAATCAATGATATTAAAAAGAGACAGATGGACTTTCTGGCAGAAGTTCTTATCAAGTAGGCCATGGATTTACACTAGTAAATGTCAATGAAAAACTCAAAAATAACCTCGAAAGCCAGAAAAAATCAAAATTGTTCATCAATAATTGCATTTAATAACAAAATATTTGCTTATAAATGTTTTTGAATAAAAATCAAGAAATACTAACTACTATTACTACTATTATTACTACTACTACTACTACTACTACTAGAATTCTACTTTCATGACGTCAGATGCTAGACAACATTAACCAAAGCCACAAAGCATACCGATTTGAGAAATAATGCTGAAACAATAATTGAACACGTTTATTATTTAGCTTCGTCTTTTTTCAATTAAAAATATTGAAACGAGACGGCTAAACTCTAACACGATCCTGCATCAAGTAGGCCATGCAATTACCCAATCAAATGTCAAGAAATGGACGTTTCCAAAAATTAACACATTTGAGGAAAAATGTTATTTTCGATAAAAAATTATGTCTAGAGCCATAGGGTCTAAAAATGGACTATTAAATTTCCTGCATCGTCAAAGATTAATAGGCGTTTACTCCCTGTGCACCTTCCTCTCGATAACTTCACTAAAATTAATTTTAATCCCATATCCCGCCCGGGAGCTAGGGACAAATTGGCAATCATGCCGCTACATAAACCCTTTCCTCTACGAAATCAGGAAATTAGAGTCGCGTAGGATCTAATTGCGCCTCTAAGGATCGGTTTATTTAGTTTCAGTTAATCCATAGTTAAACTAGACTGATAAATCGGTCCTAAATAGTTTTTGTTGCTATTTGATTTTTTTGCAGGCTTACGTAAAATTGATCCGATAATGACGTCAAATTCTTCCACCCAAATTCCTGTTAGCCAGCCGCAACCCTTTGCCAATTCCGCCAGTCAAACTGCTGTATTTGCTGAACAAAAAAGGTATAATATGGGAAATTTTGCTGCCAAGATAATTCAGTTGGTATTTTAGATGTGGCTGGGGCTACACGAACAGGCTAATAGCAGGAGGTGGGCCACTTCAACCCAATCCTTGGTACACTGGCAGAGTGATTGGAGGTCCGCAGTGTACACAGTGTCCTGGGGTGTGTCCTGTGCCACGTAGCGACAGTTATCCTGAGACTCATCGTCAAGTAATAATAATTTTAGATTTTTTCAAAAATACTCTCAACTGTTCAGAGTACTCTAACTGTTCGAAGTACTCTAATTACCAAGAAATGTTTTCTTTAGGAATATAATTCAACAAGAAGACAACGACCAGTTAGCCAACCAATACCAGCTAGTGTTAACATCAACGGAGACTTGGTACCACATCAAGCACTCCCTGAAATATCCGAATTCAGCCCAAACAGTCCTCAATATGCTTCTAGCAGCAGTAAATAAATTAAAACAAAAAAATTATTCCTCACTGAAAATTCTATGCAGTTCTAGATGAAGTCAGTGCAAAACCATCAACAGACTATGAAGAGCCCACATTGAAAACTCGAAGTCTACCAGCGTGGGTGAGGTCGAAACCCAGGCCTTTATCCACCGAAGATGATCTCAACAATCTCTATGCCAAAGTGAATTTTAGTAAAAAACGGAAAAATCGAATGAGAAACGACGAAGCCGCCATTATCGCCCTCAGCAAATCCAGGAGTCAATTTTTGCACAAAGATACTGATTCTTTGGTGGACAACGAAGCTGTTATTGTTTATGATGAACGAACAGCGTTATAATAAAAAGTTGATTTTTGTATTCATGGTCTTATGTCATATTATGACGCACATACATTTTGATTTTTTTTAACAGAATCTAAATACTGTTGACTGCTGTCTCACTTTACAACTTGATAATGGAATTATGCAATTAAAATGACATTTCAAGATGGTACATAATTATAATGTTATATAATAGGTAATTAGAAAAATAACAAATCCCCCCCCTAAGCAAAATCCAGATCCGTAATCTTTTTTTATAGAATCTTAGGATTTATACTTAAGAGTTTTGGATTGATGTTATCAAGAAACTTTAGGTCATATCAGAAAAAAGAACCAATCAGACAAATAAAATCCTTATTGTATAAGTATAATTTTTCTGTGATAAATTTTTTAGAATTGAAACCAAATATTATTTTAAGCGATGGTGGTTGTAATCATAGGTGAAATTTTAAAGCTCATTATCAAGGTTTCTAAAGTTAATAGGTTGTCTGGTAACGGATAAATTGATGACGCATCTGAGATGCCTCATGGAGATTTGCATTATCCTTGGGCATACAGATGACGTCATAAAAGTTATCAGGCAACCTACCTCTCTCAAACAACCTTGGCTAATTATTACTAACAACTTCAATATTGACCCATAATAATAGGTACCTACCCAATTAACAATAATTAACATATCTTTTAGAGCAAATTAAAAATACAAAATGTAACTTCTCGCACATCCCATTGCAATAAAGTATAATTAATTTTTTTGGCCTGTACTTATTTTTCACTGAATCAGATTGTTCAAAAATTCCCCGTTTGCATCCGACAGAATTCAAAATTTCAAAAAGAAAGGTCTGCTAGTGACGTCATCATTATCAATGAAAATTGAATTTGAAAACTGGAAATTTTTGACAGAAAATTACGCAAATCGAGAGCCCCGCACTTTAAAACAATTTTTTCCGCTGGAAAAGTCCCGGAAAACTGGAAAATTCGAGCAAAAACCAGGACAAACATGAAAACGATGCGTCGTCACTCAAAATGGCCGACTATCAAACTGTCAGGCTTTATCAATGACATTCCAAGGCCTACTCGATTGATTGATACCTGAGTGAAGTTAGCTACAAGAGGTTTTGCTAGCTAAAAATAGTACATTAGCTGCTTTTTTTCTGCACATTGTCTTATCTTAGCTAACTTTGAAAATCTTAGCTGGGCTAAGTTGTAGTTCAAACGTACACATTAGATGGACGAAGGATCTTAACCTTAAAAAACATAATCTCAGGTAAAAAATTGAATTAAGAATGGAATTCGGCATCCTTGGCGTAGGCAATAAAGGAGGAGATAATTTCTACTGACATAAACTTACTTAAGATGTTAGAAAAAACGGTCCTTTATACAGAACAACTTAGGTTAGCTAATATAGGTGTGTAAAAAAAAAGCAGCTATTATATACCTAGGTAGAGAAGTTGGTCATTATATACCGAGCGCTTTTATAAACCGAGGCGCGGTTTAGATTTTTTTAGATTTTTGGTTTCACCCTTTCGACCCCATACACTGCAGCCTTTATAGGCTTTTTGTATGTCATTCGTATGGGCTCTACTCCTTCTCATTCATACTTCTCATTCATACTTGCAGATCAGATGATTGGCGGCAGCGCGGGCGGGCTACCGTCCCGTACTACTGCGGTCACCCATCCAATCTGCAACCCGACAACGCGTTGCTTGGCTTTGAGTAGGGCGTCCTGTCGTCCTTTATCAAAGCGCCAACGCGCCGAGGTTTATAATGCGTAAGGTATATAATGACTTTCTCTACCGAGGAATATATACCCATACCGAGGAATATAAACCCTCTATCAACAACTTATATGGTAACTTCTTAAAAGTAGATTATAGATGTAGATTGCGGGGAAGTCGTTTCGACGAAGGAAGCTATTTTCCTGGGTGTCAGTTGGCCCACTTCTTCTGGTAACAGTGTTGCTCGCTCGAGGAATTTGAGCCTCTTGCAGAATTGGGCTGGACATTCGCAGAGCAGGTGCTCTGTGGTCTCTATTGCGTCTGAGCAGAATCATTTTTCCTCGTTTGCATCCGACTGAATACAAAATAGAACTTTCTTGCATGATTAAAGAGAGCTTAATTGTAATAAATACAAGTTAGAATGTAATAAAAGATGACATGCGCGCGCAATTCGTGGCTGCAGTGTAAGCAGAGCCGCTTTCCAGTGACGAATTTTAAAGTGCTTCATACTCTGGTGCTCCAAACAACTGTTGTGTTACTGGAACGCACACTACTTTAAGCATTAACTCAGGTGCATGAGAGGGCAGGGGAGACGAAAAACGAACAGTTCAGTTGCGCGAAACTCACACTGAAACACCTATAAACAGTTCGGGGCGCTCTAGAGCAGTGCTTGAAGTGTGTCACTGGAAAGCGGAAAGCGACTCAGATTTCTGAGCCAGACATACGTTACAAAGAAAGAAAGAACGATCATTTCTGAACTGATGGCCCCTGAATATGACGCAAGCCTGTAACAAACTCGATTCTCATTGGACGCTCACCTGCAACCTACGAGTTGCACGCGCAGTCAAGGTAAAAAAAGATCGGTCTATTTCAAAAACAAAGGTCTAATAGTGACGTCATCATTAATATAATAACAACTGGAACAAACGAATAAAAATTTGAATGTCCTTATCGATATGAGAAACTCCTATTGAAGGCGTATCCATAGATATTTACAGTGTGACAGTTAATAGATCTAATGGCGTTTCTGATTGGTAGCGCAGGGCAGGGGAGACTGTGCGCACTGAGCGCATTTGCATTCCTTTAATCGACATGTAGAAGAAAAAGATAGAAATAAAAAAAATCGCACTAGTTCCGCACTAGATCTACCAATCGGAAACGCTATAAGGTTAATAGGTTGTCTGGGTCTGGTAACAAGGTTCCTAAAGGTAGGTTGTCTGAGTCACTTTCGGGTGCAGAGTGTGAAGCTTCTGAATACCTACGGGCCGAATTTATAGTCGCTCCTTGAGGTTTACTCAGACCTTAAGGAAGCCTTGAACGTTTAGAATTGACATGAATAATTTGTCAAATATTAGCAAGTGTCCATTCTAAACTCACGACCTCCAAGGAAGAGTCAAGGAATGACTATAAATTTGACCCTAATTCACACCTGTCATAAGCCTAGTACTCATAACTGCGAAATTCGCATTTTTTTGACATTGCATTGACAATTTGACGTTTGATTCACGCATAAAATGTCAAATTGTCGAAGCAATGTCAAAAAATGCGAATTTCGCAGTTATGAGTACCTACTATAGGCTATTAGGCAATTCAATCCATCTGTCAAAACGGAAAATTCAATGTGGCGTGGCGGCCAAGCAAGTTTGTTTTGGATATGTTTTTATGCGTATTTTAAATTATTTTGCATACAGTTTTGCTTACAATTTTGATTTTCATTATTTAATAAAATATTTATTGACTTAGGTACCTGAAAATTCCGGCAGAAACTAGATATTTTTTTGTGTTTTTTGGCCCATGTGTGGCCGCCACGCCATCTTGAATGTCACGTGGTTTGAATTGCCTAATACTCCATACGTTTTGCATTCGAACCTTAGACCAGGTAAAGGACATAAAAAGTAGGAACGCGCCATTCTGCTTATGAAACTAAAGTAAAGCGAGTGAAGCCAAGTTTTTACCAGGTGTTTGGCACCAAAATACAGGTAGAGCATTGAATTGCCTATAAGGCAATTCAAACCACGTGACTTTCAAGATGGCGTGGCGGCCACAAATGGGCCAAAAAAAAAAAAAAATATCTAGAATCTGCTCGATTTATTAGTTTAGGTACCTAGTTAACAAATATTTTATTAAATAGTCCAAATCAAAGTTGCAAACAAAACTCTAAGCAAAATAATTTGAAATACGCATAAAAACACATTTAGAACAAACTAGCTTGGCCGCCACGCCATATTGAATTTCCCTATCTGACAGATGGATTGAATTGCCTAATACCGCCATTTTTTTGGTGCCAAAATACCTGGAAAAAAACGGCTTCATTTTCCAACTCCATGTTACTACTCCTCTTCACCTTTACCTGCTCCAAGATTCGGACGCTTGAAACCGAACGGTGTCAAACTGTAGCTGGAGTAATTCAGAGTAACTCGGGAGCGCTCCAAGGGTGGCACCCGAAAGCAGCTCTTGTAATGTGTAACTTGATGACGCATTGGGGTGCCTTATGGAAATTTGCATTATGATGTTGAGGCACCCTAAATAATGTCATGTTACGCAACCTACATCTTTCAAATAACTTTGGTCTGGTAATGGGTAACCACATACCATGGGTAACATTACAATGATAAAACTTTATGAGAAACCTATGATTCTTTTGATAACCGTAGAACTTGTTCAGATCTGATCTGGAAACCATTTCTAGAACTGGAACAGAAAACTCATCAGAATTCAATAATCCTCGAAAGATATAATTCAAATTGTGGATCCAAACTGTTCCGAATCAGTTCTGAATCGAATATGGATCACATTTAGAACAAATTTGAAACTATGTAGTTTACAAAAATTGTCCTAAACTTCAAAAATGAAACTAATGATTCTTTCAATATCCGTAAAACCTGTTCAGATCTGATCTGGGAACCGATTTTAGAACAGAAAACTCAGAATTCAAAGTTTCAAGTAGATCTGATATCCCGAAGTATTTTTCAGGATTTTTCAAAGGTGATTTAACATGAATTTTTCAATTTTTTCTGTTGTTAAGTTGGAAAAAACCTCATAATTTTTTTTCTGAGCTTCAGATTGACTTCAAATTTGTCTTGTTTGAAGAAAACATCCTGGAAGTTTGAAATCGATCTGATACTCTGAAGTATTTTTCATGACAAATTAAAAATATTTTGTTTCAAATCTCTGATAAATTTAAATAAAAATTCTTGTCCCTTGTCCGAGATTTTGGTTTGGTAGCTGTGAATGCTGTCTATTTTTTGGTTTAGTTGTTTCCACACGGAGTTGTGAGTAGACCTATCTATTTTTACCTGTATGCGCGCGCAACATGAGGCAATGCATTTTTATTGGCTAACTAGTACAGGTGTAAAATTTTTCTTTTGCACGCTGGGCATCTCCTTGTCCTTGTTCATTGCCCGTGGTCTGACAAGGATAAAATTATGCTTGATATTCAACTTGACGCAGCTTGACAAGTGATCGATTTTCAATTGTTTGTGTTTTTGATTGACAGATAGGTTGCACGTCACGCGGTTTTCCTCCTTCCTTTTTTATCCCGTGCAAATAATAAGAACGGATTGCTATACGTAAGTCTACCATAATTTGGTACGTTTTGCCTCGTCTTGCGCAATAAGCGTTCTGCGTCTTTTTCTATCTAATAAAGATTTCGTATTATTACCTCTTTGTCTGGTAAAATAGATAGGTCTGTTGTGACCATTCAAAATGTCGTAAATTTCTGTAATGACAGGAAGAAAGTCATTGTTTTTTTGAAACAGGCTCCGAAAGTTTCGATATTTTCCATAGAAATCTAGAAATTATGTAGATTTTCTAGTGGAAATTATCATGTCAGACTTGGACTCGTTTTGTCGGTTTTGTAAAGTCAAAATAACGCACGTCAGATAACATAATTTTGACTTTCATGTACCATAATTTTAAAATCAAAATCTGGCAACACTGTAGTGACGTCGCACATGTTCAGTATGTATATCTACTATATATACAAAACTAAATACCTATTTGTATAACTTTCGAAATAATCATAATTGGACAAAATAAAAAAACACGCATCGATTTTTTTATATTTTCTACAGTTTGTAATAAACAGAAATCAATTTAATTTTCCATGCAGTATGCAGTACCCTTCTATCCATTTCGTACAACTTGGTATCGATTTAATTATAAATATCGTATCGATAAGCTCTCCTCTAGTCTAGGGGTGCGTTCGAAATCACTCTGGACGTCACACCGAGTGCACACCAACCATGAATAATTTATAGCTGGAGTGCAAGGCTGGAGTGCGTTTAGAAATATAGTGTGAAGGTAGAGTAGTTGTTTGTCAGAGTGTTCTGACGTCATCACTTGGAGTGCACTCTGGGTGCGCCTTTTCTGAACGCAATTGGTGTGTTGCGCTAAATGTCAACGTCAAACCCGGGGCGTTTTCTAACTCAGTCCCTGAGTGGGGTAATTTGGGCGCACTCTGGGCACGTCAACTTTCGATTTCTGAACGATTCCAGCGTAACGCTCCGAGTAAGCACCTGTTAATTTATGAACGGTTTAGAGTTACTTTAGGATTACTCTCACACCTAGGGTGCTATTTCTAAACGCAATCGTATGCACTCGGCTCGGTGTGACACCCAGGGTGATTTCTACAGTGACTTGTAATCCACAGTGGCGAAAATTGCTGTCTCATTTTTGATTGGTTCTAAAATCCCATATATTTATTTTAAAAACGCCGCCATCTTGCTCCCAACCCCTTGTTTTTTAGGTGAAAATCCATTATAAATCATGGAAGACAACGTATTTGATGGATCTAATAATGGTCATCAAATACGTCGATTTCAATTTTTTATGATAGATGTCCATTTAAATCCTATATACTAATATTTAAAAGTAACAAAAGGTTGGGAACAACATGGCGGCGGGACCTCTACTGTCGCCACTGTATGTAAAGGTTTATTTAGCCACTGTAGTGATTTCGAACGCACTCCAGGCGTTGTTCCCTGCCTGCGTCATATTCATGTCACGTCACGTCACGTCACGTCACGACTGTCATTTTTTCTCACTTCTTTCTCAATTTTCACTTTAATGGCCTTTTTGTGACTGTTCAAAGTCGATTTCAACGCCGCCAACAAAATCCAAATAATCTTCGAAAATGAGAATTTACAAAGACAAATTGACCGGTAAGTAATATTCCCTAATTATCGAGCAATATTTTGGTGTCTATATTGTTTGGGTTTATTAAAGATTTCCCAAAGAAATTGGACTTTGAAAAATTCCTATTATTGACATCTTAAAAATTCTCCAACATATTGTTTACTTCTTTGGTATTTTTATTAAATTCCATCCAGGGCTGATTCTACTATATTTAAGCATTATTTGAAATTTTAATTGATGAAATAATAATATTGTCTGTATTCTCCAATTTCCAGGTGACGAGATGTTCTCAGACACTTACAAAATCAAATTGGTAGACGAAGTGATCTACGAAGTGTACGGCAAACATGTGACGCGTAAAAACGGAGACATCCAGCTGGCGGGGGCGAATCCTTCGGCCGAAGAAGCCGACGAAGGCACCGAGGATGGTGTTGAGAGCGGCGTTGATATCGTTTTGAACCACAGGCTAGTGGAAAGCTTTGCTTTTCCAGACAAGAAATCCTATATGTTGTACTTGAAGGACTACATGAAAAAGTAAGTTAAATACAGTACTTATCTGGCATGTTCTAATACTGGACACTATTTAATCAATGTATTGTTCAGAGCAAACCCATGCTAAATTAAACCTAAATCTGTTATTAATTTGTTGCATTTTACTTGTGAAACAAATTGAGTAAGGCTTAGAACATTGAACATTATTCAAAGGTTATTTGCATAGCTATAACTCAAGGTATATTCATCCATATGGAGCTTTGAATGTGACTTTTGTTTCTACAAGATTCACATTCAAAGCTCCACTAAGGCTGGATTTATAGTTCCGTAAGCATAACATTATCGGTATTCTTATTCATAAGAATTATTCGTTAGAATGTAAGAAATCAAATTCAATTCATAATTAAACGTAACACCCCGTACGCTGAGGGCGGATTGGCCCTATGATAATAAATAAATGTAAGCCAAGTCGGCCCAATTCCGTAGCGGTAACATAAGAAATGAAATTAGACCATTTCCTTATGGTTACTGCTTATGCCTTACATTAGACTGTGAATAATAGTACTATTTAGCATTAGTTCATTTCCCTTATGGCTAATTCTTAAGGATACCGATACCAATACCATTATGCTTACAGAACTATGAATCAATGGCGGCTCGTAACTATTTCAAGTGATGAGGCTAAAAAAATTTCAGTGATTTTGAGTAGATCTTAAGAGTTTTTCTGGGATTTTGACCAACTTGTATACAAATTTTCATCAATTAACTACTCAAAGTTTAGTTAACTCCATAAAATGTGTACATAATTGAATCTATTGATTTTGTAAAATTTTGAGGATTTTTTAAAAACTTCACATAATTTTAAAAGATTGTACATTTATGAGATTTTAGGTGATTTTGGATCATTTTAGGGAATTTTGAAACGGTTTTTATGGCGTTTTTACCAACTAATTCAGGGGAGCCTTAACGATAAATATTCCATGGGAATTCTGCAAAAATTTTTGTTAATTCCATCGAAGTTCCTCAGAATTTCACTAGAAGATTTTATGGAAATCCTCAAAATTCCATTCAAATAACAAATTTGAATAGGAAAACAGAAAGTCCTAGAAATGTTATCATAAGATTTCATAATACTTTTCCGAATTCCACCATAAAATTCAATGGAATTCTTGTACAAAAATTCCTTGGAATTACAGTAGAAGATTTCATGAAATTTCGACAGAATTTCACTAAAATTGAATTCAAGTTTTCGGAATTCCGCCGAAATTTTTCGTGGTTCCATGGAAATTCCACGAAAATTTTGTTTAATTCCGAGGTTTCAATATAATTTCACTGGAATTCTACAGTAAGATTTCAAGGAATTCCATGTATGTAGGTGTAATTCGACAAGAATTCTTTGGAATTTGTCTCACATCGAACACACAGTCCTCCAAATTCCCCATAAATTTTTCCAAATTCCCTATAAATTCCCCAAGTTTTTAACAAAGAATTCCAAGGTGGTTTTGTCTCTTAGAATATACAGTCTTATACTTTCAAAGTTTACCTGGAAAACTAATTGGGGGGAAAGTTGAAACTTTTTGCATATAAAGAGGAAGATTAGAAACTTATTTTCTCAAAATTTCAAATTTTTCCAGTGGAAAATATTAACATAAAGAATCTTGGAAATCAACTTACAATAACTGAATTGATTGAAAATACAGTCTCACACAATTCAAAGTTTTCCTCGAAAACTAATAAAGGCAAAAATTTGAAACTTTTTGCATGTGAGGAAAAAGGTTAAAGGCTCATTTTCCCAAAATTTCAAATTTTTTCCAGTGAAAAATAGGATTTCGAAGGGATTATTCACTGTGACAAAATTTCAGATTTAGAGCGATTTTGAGGGATTTCAAAAGATTTCAGGTGATTTCGAAGGATTTCGGAGAATTTCAGGTGATTTCGCAAATATTTTAATTTAATTTCAAACTGTTACTTATCTTATAAGTATATTCAAAAGTGTATTAGTATAAACTGAAAAACGGCCGCGTTGGCCAATTTATGAATTTTGAGCCAATTGCGAGGGATTTTCGGATTTATGGAAAGATTTCTGAAAGATTCCGAAGGGATTTTGGAGTGATTTCGTGGTTTTCGGACGAATTTCTGACACGATTTCGGACGAATTTGTGACACGATTTCGGGGAGTGATTAACCTCTCGAAGATTTCATCAAAGTTCTTTAGAATTCCATTAAAATTTTAAGTTATTCCATAGGAATTCCGCGAAAAATTTTAAGTAATTCCACAGAAATACCTTAACATTTCATTAGAGGATTTTATGGAATTCTTGGACAAAATTTTTTCGGAATTAAAGTATAGGATTTCATAAAATTCCTCAGAATTCCACTAAGATTTCAATTTTTAAAATTCCATATTTTTTTTTTTTACTTTACTAAAATTCCTCAAAATTTTACCACTGAAATATCCTGGAATTCCACAAAATTTTCATAAAATTCTTCAAAATTTCATTGGCATTTCATGTAATTTCTTAAAAATTCCTCGGAATTTTTTTATGAGAATATCCACGTTCATAGCCGAAAATTTCTCAAAAGTCCAATGAAACTTGAAGGAATTTTTCAAAATTTAATTTATTTTCATAAGGATTTTTTGGAATTTCACTGAAATTCTCTTTTAATAGCCAGGAATTTCTGGGAATATTAATGAAGTTTCAAGTAATTTCTTAAAAATTCACCGAAATATATTGAAATTTCATGTCATTACATGGGAATCTTTCAGAATATCACTGAAATCCTATGTTTTTAGCTGGAAATTCCTCGGCATTACTAAAATTCAGTAAAAACTGAAATTTCATGTTGGGAATTTTGGTGTAATTTCATGTAATTGTTTAAAATTCCTCTATGTAATTCATTTAGAATTTCGTGTAATTTGATCGGAATTTCACTGAAATTTCAAGTAATTCAAGAGGAATTAAAATTTAATGTGAATTCTATGGAAACTCCGCAAAAATTTCACATCTAATTCCTTTTTCAGAATAACATAATTATTCTACCAAAATTTCACTAAATTATGGAATTCTGAGATTTTAATACATTTTTGGGGATTCCAAAGGATATTTGGGAATTTTAAAGGAAATATTTTTCAAAAATGTCAATGATTGGGTTTAAAATTAGCTATAAATCGAGATTTGATAAAAACATATGGCAACGCTGCTTATGATACAGCAAACGTCAAAAAATTGAAATATCAAAGTAGGCCTTGTTTTTTTTTGACAGTCGATATAAAATGGCGTCTTTTTGTTTCAAAGATTACAATCTGAAGGGCCGAAGTATTAAACTCTGTTGACAATGAACGGGCTCGTATAACTTTGGCCCTTCAAACTTGTATAACCTTGGCCCTTTGAGCTCATAATTGAGATAACCTCAGCCTTCCAGAATCAAGATTCAAAAAAAAACATATAGCAACACTGCTCATAATACAACAAACGTCAAAAAATTGGTTGGTCCTCTGTTTGGCTACTTTCTACGTATTCGCCAAGGCTAAATCTATATGCCCATGTGTTTTTTTTTTAAATTTTGACAACTGTCAATGTCAAAAATATTTACCTTTCCTTTTTTTCAAAAAACAAATGTCAGAAAACAATATCCAGGCTCCGAAAACCCTAAAATAAGAAGTTTCATCAATATATGTCAAAAACCAACCGCCTGGCAACACTGAACGTCTTTTTTGGCATATGTTAAAAAAGATTGGTACTTCTTATCCTACGTATTCGCCGAAGCTAGTGATGTAAAATGCTCGAGCAAGTATTTTAGGAGAACGTTCTCCGAGCAGGATCGAAAATTAACGAGCAAAAACGAGCAGGACCCAAGAATTTATGCTTTTTATTAGAAGCTGAATAAAACAAAACATTTTTCTAAATAAATTCTGAATTTGTTTTTTCCAAAAAACAAAGGTTAGAAAACAAGTCGTTTTTTAGTGGGTTTTAGGGTGAGATTTATGTAACAACATGTAGCAACTTTTGGTACAAAAAATTCAATTTTCTGTTGGGTTTGGAATTCGAATTTTCCTGGCTCCTGATTGGTTTGGGGATTTGAATTTTGATTATTCCCAGCTCTTGATTGGCTTTAAATTTTGAATATTCCTGGCTTTAAAATAACCTATAATCTCGGCCCTTCGAACTCGAGATTTGAAAAAAAAACATATGGCAACACTGCTGATGATACAACGAACGTCAAAAAATTGAAATTTTAAAGTAGACCTTGGGTTTTTTGACATGAAATTGATACAAAATGACGTCTTTTTGTTTCGAGTAATAAAATCAGTTAACAATGAAAGGGTTTGTTCGGATAAAACTTTTGTCGCACAACACTTTGGCAATATCGACAGATGTCACCTGTCAAATTTGACACATGTTCGACTTTTTCCCCGCTCTACTATAAAAGCTACGAAAATCAAACCCCGGTACAAGACAGTTTCATGATGCCAACTATCGATCAAAAACCACCGTTTTCTGAAAAACCTGTCAGGCTCTTATATAACTCTAGCCCTTCGGGCTCATATTACTGAGTATTCCAGATTCACAGATTTTTGTCGTGGAGGCGCGGGATTGATTGAAATGATGTCAGATTTTTCTAAATTACATTGAAATATCGAAAATTGGAATTCTGTTGCGTAATTTGTGCCTCCTCTGACGAGCCGCCACTGCTATGAATCCAGCTTAACATTAACTAATTATTATTCTTTTTGTAGACTAATTCCCAAACTAGAACAAGACGCCCCAGATCAAGTAGCCGTATTCAAGAACAACATAAACAACACAATGAAAGATATCTTGTCCAGGTTTAAAGAATTGCAATTTTTCACTGGAGAATCTATGGAAATCGAAGGAATAGTTGGATTAATGGAATACCGGGACATTGACGGCGACTCAGTGCCAGTAATGATGTTTTTGAAACATGGTTTAGATGAAGAAAAGTTTTAAATTTTATTTTGGTCTCGTTTAGGAATCCTTTTTTTTTTTAATTTATTACAGTGTCAAAAACAATTTATTTATGTAATTTTTTACAATATATTGTCTATTTTGTATATGAAAAAAGAAACTTTGCTTTTTTAATGAATAACGGAAAAATTTATTGATTCCCTGTAATGGGGCCCATTAATTCATGCCTTAAATAATTTGTTTTTCAAATAAATACTCCAACTTATAAGTTTCGCTTTATTTAATCAGATCTTGCACAGTCAAAACTATATTCCGTATTATTTTTAAATCTTAATAAGGGCTACATACAATAAAGGTTATTTGGTACACCTCGCACTGACTTAATTTGTTTCCAAGATACCGTACAGTGGGGTTACTTTGCCTAAAGGGGTAACTTTGGCAAGCAATGTGTCTATTATAAAAATAAATGTTTTTACGTAAAAGTGGCATTATTGCAAGCCTAGTAAATACTTTCCGTTCTCCGTTAGAAGCCGGTGCATACATCCCGCGCTTTTGTGAGTGTCAAACAAACCCAGTTAAAATTAGGAGTTCAGCCTGATGAGTTTTTAGTCACATTTTTTTGTTTAAATTCCCTATTTTTATTTAATAATCTGATCTGACTAAAATATTGTTCATAGTTTTAATTTTAGGACTCTATGTAAGATTAATCATTAATCTACAGTTTCAAATAAAACTTAATTTAACACAGCATAGGTATTTATTAAATTATCTTAGTTAAAAGACAAATGATGTACAATAAAATTACAGTTATCAAAATAAAATTTTCTACATTTTTCTTTTAAATATAATCTTGTTCTATCCATTTCAAATAAAGCGTAAAAGTTATGAGGAGCCCGAATCAAATTTCAATCACTACTTATGGGGGTTTTTCCATTATATACTTCACTAGATAGTAATAAATTCTTTGATTCAGCATGCTAAAAAAAAATAATACTGTCCTAACGTAACAAATTAAAAAAATCTTTGGTGCGAGTCTTTATCATTTATGTATGTTGTGCAACAATAATTTATTCCTAAATAAATAATCTGCACTTTAGAGTTTTGTTTGGAAGAAATCTCCATATTTAAACAATTATATATTTTTTTTTTTTTAACTACCTATCACATAATCCTAACATTAACATTATTAAGTACTTTGAATAAAATAATACTCTTTGGATCAATTGAACGAAGAAAGCTATCTCAATCTTGAATAAACACATTAAACATTAAAAACAAATATCACAATAAATATTAGAAGGGTTTCCATTTGGCCTGCTGAAAGTAGCTATAGTTGGAGGAAATTTATGCTCCATTTCTGTAGGTGCAGTTTTAAAAAGCTGGAGGCATATATGAACAAAATATCAATAGTAACCATTGATTGGAGCGTCTCTAGAAACATTAAATATGGAAGATTTATGAATATGTTTATGATTTTACAAGGGGGTTAAACCATCTAGAGTTGAAATTAGGCCAGAGTAATTTACAAAGGTGAAAGAAAATTTTTGTTAATTTTTTGTTAACAAGATATTCAATAAAATTTGTCTACTGTCAATGATTTTTTCAGCTTCCTGCCATCCGAAATGAAATCCCTCCACAAAAATTTAAAATACCGGAGATAAGTTCAACGTCAAACTTTGCAAGGTCTTGTTTCTGATGGCAGAACGATTGGCTCTGGCCGATTTGATGATTTGCAATACCATCAATTTGCAGTCCAGACATACAACCATTTGAGAACCCTGAAGAGTCATTTATCAACTGAAATTATTATTTTTTAAAATTTATTCACTCACCTTTAATCTATCCACTACTCTAGAAGCCCTAGCAACATTAGTGGCATTTGTGCGAAACTTGTAAATCGCAGGTTGAGTGATACCAGGGTCACTTATAGTGCTGGCTTCCATCAATGCAGAAGGGCTGTTATCTTTGGAAACAGCTCTAGAAGAGTTGCCACTCCTGTTAAATTTATTCGAGGCTATCAATCAATAATCAAAAAAACTACCTTATTTACCTATGATCATCTTCAGGTGTACACAAAATGCTGGGACTCAACAATACAACCGGAACGCTACTGAAATGCTCCATGGGAATATTCATTTTCGAATAACATTTGGTGCACACTGTGCGCTTGCAGAGGGCGCATCGTTGGCCCCAAGGCCCGAATATACCGAATCGGGTTTTCAAACACAAAAAACAAACTTTTCTGCTTTCCACGTCGTGCCGCACTCTGCCCTCGGTGGGCAGAGCCTCCACCTCGGCTTTAGTGAGCACGGTGCGGATGTGTACGATTTCGGATAGGGTCAAAGACAAACGGTCGTCCAGAGAAATAGTGTCTTGCCATCTCTGTGAACTGGTCAGCTCTTCTTGAAGTGCCCGAGCTACCTCAGGTTCCATGGCCATTGTTTCTGATTCGGTACTGTTGCAGGATTGTCTCGAGCCTGGTCGTGATTGGGGCACTGAATAACAACCTAAAGGTGTTTCTGTAACACCTAAGAGAAAATTTTTAATATTTGAATTTTTATTACATAATTTTTATAACTTAGATACCATATAGTGAAAGATAATTAGAGGCAGTTGTGCCGACAAGCCTTCCATTAATTTAGAATGATTGCAAATGTCCACCTTTTGTTAATTTGCCTTCTAACAGGAATCAGTAATGTTATTTTATTAAACTAGTAACGTAATGTGACAAGTTATTCAAGTATAAACGAGTGGATTGTTGCGGAACTTATGGGTGGACCTCTATTCATTAATAAGTTGTTCAAGTATGATACTAATCTGACTCACTCAAATGTCAGTTATTCTCATTAGTTCAAAAACTACACATTTCAGGTGAGTGTCTTATTTGAAAAGTTCAACAGTATATTGGTGAATAGAATTCGTTGCGCTCGTCCCACATAAGTCCACCCAAAAGTTCCGCAATGATCCACTTATTTGTATATGAACAATAACTTATTATACAGGGTGTTCCTAAATATCATGTACAAACGAAAGGGGGTGATTCTTTGGTTTATTTTATGACTAAAATTTCTAATAAAAATAGGTCTGCAAACGCTTCGTTACCGATTTACAGGGTGTTGAAATTTTAATATTAGTTTTTTCTATATAGCTCCTGCAATTTTTGAGGGATTTAACTCAAATTTGGAATGTAGGTTACCCAATAAGAGCTGAATGATTGCACATGTCAAACGTTTGCCAGAATTTACAAAGTGATATTTTTTCAGGGGTCATGTTCCCTTTTCTGCTCCTGAACTTTTTCACGGTGCGCCGCTGGTCAATCCTAAGAAACAAAATTATTTTTTTTACTACTAAAAATTGAATTTCTCTCCCTTAGGTTAATAATGAAAAAATACCTAGGTCAATGATGACGTCATGACGCAAGGATATTGTCATAACGTAACAGGTTTCTATTGGTTTAATTTCAGTGTCAAACTGTCAATTTTAAAAAAAGCAGGTTCCTGTATGTACAGGGTGTCCGAGTTTGGATGGTTTTAATAGGAAACATCAATTTCTGAGCGAGATACAAAAAAATGAACCCCTCACTCCGAGGCTCAAGTTTCTTAACATTTTGATTGGTGCAAACCGCATTTTGATATCTTCAACCGTTTAGCCGCTAGAGGGCGATTCTCGATTTTGAACAATACTGTGAAATCTTCATAACTTTTTTGTTTATAAAAATAACTGATTTGCGTAAAAACTTCCTAAAAGCACGAATTCAGTGACGTTTACAGTTTTTTTCTATTGGGCCTCGATTTCAAGATACATATTGACCAAAATCCGATTTTTTTCAATGGGACACCCTATATATTAATAGCTCATTAGAAAGTTCTGCTTTTGCTGATTTCAATGATACAAATTTCGATAGGTTTATCTCTAACAGTTTTCGAGAAATAAAATATTTCGGCTTTTGTCATAAGAAACAATGAGTTAGAAAGAGACCTTTCTCAGTTTCCTTACAGATATAAAGTCCTTTTCTTACACATTGCTTCTTATGACAAAAACCGAAATAATTTTTTTTCTCGAAAACTATCAGAGATAAACCTATCAAACTTTATATCATTGAAATCAGAAAAAGCCGAGCTTTCTAATGAGCTATTAATATATAGAGTGTCCTATTGAAAAAAACTAGACTTTGGTCAATATCTCGTAGTTGGGATCAACTAGAAAAAAACTGAGAACGTCACTGAATTCTGCTTGAAAAAGTGCTTCTAGAAAGTTTTTACGGAAATCAATAATTTCCATAAACAGAAAAGTTATGATGGTTTCACATTATTGCTCAAAATCGAGAATCGCCCTCTAGCGGCTAAACGGTTGAAGATATCAAAATGCGGTTTGCACCAATTAAAAATTCATGAAATTTGAGCCTCGGAGTGGGGGGTTAATTTTTTTGTATCTTGCTCAGAAATTGATGTTTCCTATTAAAACCATCCAAATTTGGACACCCTGTACATTATAAGAAATTACCGTAAACTGTTGATAGAGGGCAGCACTTCTGACAAGAGAAAATAATTTGAGCACAGGTTTCAAACCTATTTTTAATTACCTTCTCTACCTATAGTGGCCACAATGGGGATCCCGCAGTCATATTTTTACTCATTTTCAATAGGAATCTAGAGATGAAACACCCGTCGCCGCCATATTCTTGCTCATTTTAATTATGAATTCATTAAAATTTTAACACCCTGTAGATCGGTAACGATGCGTTTGCGGACCTAAATTTATTACAAATTTTAGTTATAAAATAAATCAAAGAATCATTCCCTGCCATTTGTACATAATATTTAGAAACACAGGGTGTTCCTATAAAGTCAAAATTTGTTAAATTATGATTATTCACTTTTTGTCAATTTGCTTTTGAAATTAGTAATGTTACTTTACCAAACTAGTAACATAATGTAACAAGTTATTCAAGTACAAATGAGTAAATTGTTATGGAACCAATGGGTGGACCTCTGCGGGACGAGCGCAGCGAGTTCCGTAGCCATCTATTCATCAGTATATTGTTTAATTATGATACTAACCTGACTCACTCAAATGTGAGTTATTCTCATTAGTTTAAAAATTACACGTTTCAGGTGAATGTCTTACTTAAACAGTATATTGGTGAGTAGATAGCTGCGGAACTTGCTGCGCTCGTCCCGCAGAGGTCTACGCATAAGTTCCGCAACAATCCACTTATTTGTACTTGAACAATAACTTATTATACAGGGTGGAACACGAAAAAATTCCCACCACGATTTTCTCAGATGTTAAGTCTTTAATCAAAAATCGTTGGGACACGTCAATTTTTGTTTTTTGGGGGACACATTTCATTGGTATTTTCACCCCTTATCTGTCAACCACTAAACAGGTATCCCCAAAATTTCAAATGGAAAGGGGGGTCGAGTGATACGTCATTTGATAGCTATTCTTATCAAGATTATAATCTCCAAAGTTTTAGGTTGCTACTATTTACCTTGCCGAAATGGCGGCTTGTCAGAGTTAGGAAAAATGCTTTTTTCCAAGTATCCGAACTGTGTGGTTTTTTGTTGTAATCATATAATAACAAAACAACAGATTTTTTCAAAGATACCTATCCATAGTAATAAAATAACATTGGTATTTAATTCAAGTATTGTCATTTAACAGTTCAGTTTGAAATGGTTCATGTTTATTCACTTGAAAAATTTGGCTTGACAAGCTGCCATTTCGACAGGGTAAATAGTAGCAACTTAAAACTTTGGGGATATATTTTTAATAAAAAAAAAAAAACTATCAAATGACGTATCACTAGACCCACCTGCCCATTTGAAATTTTGGGGGTACCTATCACCCCCGCTTAAGGGTTGACAGGTAGGGGATGAAAATACTAATAAAATGTGTTTCCCAAAAAATAAAAAGTGACGTGTTTGAGCAATTTTTGATTAGTCACTTAATACCTGAGAAAACTTGGGTGGGAAGTTTTTCGTGCCCCACCCTGTATAAAGTCAGAATTTCTAAAATTATCCATTTTTTGTTTGTTTGTCTTTTAACAGGAATTAGTAATGTTACTTTACCAAACTGAGGAGGGGGTAACAACTGGACCAAAATTTATACATGTATTGCGCATTACATGTTTTTTTAAAGTAATTCTGGTGATTCCAATGTAATATCATCGTACTGCCATCATAATGGCATTCATTTCATGTAATGCCATTTTGGTAATGTCAAGGGTAATGTATAGATACTTATATTAGGTAACATGCAATAGTCTTACCTCCAGTTTTACGTTACTGGATCAGAAAAATAAATCATTATAGTAAAAAACAAAAATCACATCCTATAGTTTGTACATTTATTATTATTTATAGGCATTTATTATTATATAAGTACTATATACTTATTTTTTTAAGGCTAGATTTATTTATCTTCATAAAAAATTGCCGATAACTATTTGCAAAATAAGTTTATCGTTCTATAATTCTATTGGTCGATGGATAACTGGCCAACCAATATGGGATTACAGATTGCGTTTTTATCCATCAGACTGCATACCGGACAGTTTATCAGAAGGCGAATAAACCGGCTCTAAATCTGAATAAAATGCCAATGTATCTTATAATTTATTTACCAAAAACCGTTTTAACTTCTTGAGTATGTGCAAAAAAACACTTACAGGTTAATTATTCTGGAATTTCATATACTTATACAAAATTTTATCATACCTACAACCTACAAGTTATAAGAAAAAACTGCAAAGAAAAAGAAGAAACTAAGAAAAGGATCTTAGACACACAATGCCGAGAATCACAATAGATCGAGATTGGTGTATAATATGTATAATTGGCTTACACTTTTTGGCTATATTGTACTTAGGTATATTTTTATGCTTATTGGTAGGGAGTTGTATAGTTTTGAAGCTAGGTTTGTGGCAAATCCTTGGTTACTGTCTTTTCGGTAGAAAGGAACTACTACATTCTGGTTTGATATTTGTCTGGTTTGGTATGTGTGCTCAAGTTGAAAAAAAGGCAAATATTATAGAAATACAGCATTTTTATACTTAGTACATTCTCATTATACAGCTAGTCAGTTGGAAAACGTTTTCCTTTTTGAAATTTAACCTTCAATATGTAATTTTCTACAACATTATCAGGTTCAAGTGCATGATCATAGAAACCACCCCCACATGACTATGACGTATTGTAAGATGGATTCAATGATTGGATATTCTAATTTATTATATGTATAAGAAAGTTGTATCGGGTTAACAAGAATCTATAAAATATAATTATTTTTACATACACAGGGTGAGCCAGAAAAAAGTTGCAGTAGAATATTAAGGTATTTGCTTTAAATTTGACACCCTATATACTATATATTATGTTATTTTTGGATTTTACGCAAAAAAATAAATTCTATCCTAACTTTTCAATACCTATCTGATAATATATGATTGTACTATGGATATCAAATTTGGTATACCAGCATTATAACGACCTTTGCGTGGTCATTCTTTAAAGTTAGAGACAGAAAGAACATCCAAATTCCCTAGAAAACACTTTATAGTAAACCGCGTAGTCTACCAGTAGAACGCACTCAGTTGAGGACGTTGAAATACAATGATGCTACAACTGTCAGGTATATTACCACAAGCATACTGCTTGCAGAAATCATACAGTGTGTGAATATTGTGCTGACAGTCATAATATACATGAGTGTCCAAAAAGATTTAAAAAAATGCAATAATTGTGTCAACTCAAATAATAGGTATAAACTAGATTATGATGTTGATCATTTGTCAAGTGATGTGGACTTTCGATCTTATCAATACCTCCAAAAAATTCTAAGAAACATCTTGGCCAAGGTATAATTTAGAGAAGTATATTTGTGAACTAGCTCAGACTGAGTATTTGGGAATGATTGTTGATAAGTATTTGAAATAGGACCAGCATGTTCTGAGCTTTTCAAATAATGTTCTATATAAATAATATAAATAAAATAATAAAAATAGGTATGTTGAAAATTCTCACCTAATGTATTTCTCCTCAAGCTCAAAGTGCTTAAATCCTCAGTTGCCAAGTCGTAGGCGTCCAAAGTGCCATCGCAAATTTGTTGATACTCTGTCGACCATAGACCAGGTTCGCTGGAATCTGGCGTTTCCGCGATGGAAGCTTCATCGTCGTCGTCGTCATCGAACAAAGAAAAATCGACTTTTAGCAGCTTTCTACCTGCCGCCTTTGGAGGCTCTATGTTAAAACGAGATGCCCTTGAAAAAAAACATATACAATGAAACTCCCTATTACATATATTTAATCACATTGAATACTTTGTATATTAAAATTGACAAAATTCTAACCTTGGCATTGGAACTGGCTTCAATTTTCTGCCTTTTTTGATTGACAAAAGTAATTGTTCTCTAGGCGTCAACGTCCGTTGCTGAGGGGGCAATTTACGGTCCGAAACTTTTCTCAAAGGGGGTCTGGATCTGTTAAAATACAACTCACATTTCGCTCAATAATATCCAAAAAACCTATACCTGATAAAGTCCAAAATAATGGCATGCGCATCCTTGGAAACCCTATTAGGTATATTACCATTAATCATGATTTTTCTCAAATTGTATTTGCAATTTCTGATATCTTTCATTAGTATTTCGTAAGGAGTCAGCTCATACTCTATTGGTGCTTTACTGTAGTTGACTTTCTTTAACTTTACACCTAAAATGAATTAATTAAATTCATTATTCGAGGATAAGTTTAGAATAATGCCTGTTCTGAGTTCACCCATAACTTGCACCCAAAACTTGGCCCAATCTGTAAATTTCAGCTCGTCCAAATTTGAATTGTTGGAGCTCGAAGGTAGGCTAATAGTGCCTTGAGCCACTTTTTCGAGAAATGTCGATAATTCAATGGCTTCAGCTACCAATGCTCTTACTACAGCTTTATAATGAGCTTCCGCTTGGGCTTTGGTAAGAGTACCTAAAGAAAAATAATCTTAATATGCAATTTCTTTCAATAAACATCAAGAAAAGATAAATAGACAATCAAAACCCTGTATAAAATTTCACATAATTCAAATTTGGCACTATACAGGCTTTCTCCAATTTCTGGCAATTCTAGTGTTAAATTTGAGATATGGCAGTTTGAAACGTCAATTTTGGCTCTCAAACTACGATTTCTGATCATTTTAAAATTACAGTTCTCATGGAGTAATTTGAGAAACTCTATTTGTACCCTGATTGAGCTGAAATTGTCCTGAGAAGAATAAAAATGCTATTCCAGACTATCCTAGTGTAGTAACTCCAATTTCTGACGATTCTAGTATTAAATTTGAGCTCTGGCAATTTGAAACGTCAATTTTTACTCTCAAACTATAATTTCTGATCATTTTGAAGTTACAGTTCACCTAGAGCAGTTTGAGAAACTCATTTTGTAGCCTACTTCAGATGAAATTCAACTAAGATGATTGAAAATCCTATTTCAGGCTCTCCTAGAGTAGTAAATCTAATTTCTGATAATTCCAGTACCTATTAAAGAGCTCTGGCCAAGGGGCAAACCACATAGGAATTTTTTGCCAAAAATGTGGAGAATTTAGAGAAATTTGTGAAAAATTTACCAGAATTTGTGGGGAATTTGGAGGAACTTATATTTGAAAAATTCAAAAGAATAATGAATACAGTTTTTGTAGGCTGATTTCCAAAATTTTTCATGTTGTTATTTTCCACTGAAAAAATTCGAAGTTTTGGAAAAATAAGCTTTTCACCTTTTTCTTTACATGCACAAAGTTCCAAAATTTTCCCTTCTCTAGTTTTTCAGGAAAACTTTGAAATATGAGAGACTGAATTTTCAATTGATTCAGTTTTTGTAAGTTGATTTCTAAGAATTTTCATGTTGCTGTTTTCTACTGGAAAAATTTGAAATTTGGGAAAAATGATCTTTTCACCTTCCTTTTTACATGCAAAAAGTTTCAAAATTTTCCCTTCACTAGTTTTTCAGGAAAACTTTGAAATGTGTGAGACTGTATTTTCAAGTAATTCAGTTTTTGTAGGTTGATTACCAAGATTTTTCAAGTTGCTGTTTTCCACAGGAAAAATTTGAAATTTTGGGAAAATGATGTTCTCACCTTCCTCTTTATATGCAAAAAGTTTCGAAATTTTCCCTTCAGTAGTTTTCCAGGAAAACTTTGAAATGTGTAAGACTGTATTTTCAATTAATTCAGTTTTTGTAGGTTGATTATCAAGATTTTTCAAATTGCTGTTTTTCACTAAAAAAATTTGAAATTTTGGGAAAATGATCTTCTCACCTTCCTCTTTATATGCAAAAAGTTTCAAAATTTTATCTTCAGTAGTTTTCCAAGAAAACTTTGAAATGTGTGAGACTGTATTTTCAACTAATTCAGTTTTTGTAGGTTGATTTTCAAGATTTTTTCATGTTGCTATTTTTCACAGAAAAAATTTGAAATTTTGGGAAAATGATGTTCTCACCTTCCTCTTTATATGCAAAAAGTTTCGAAATTTTCCCTTCAGTAGTTTTCCAGGAAAACTTTGAAATGTGTGAGACTGTATTTTCAATTAATTCAGTTTTTGTAGGTTGATTATCAAGATTTTTCAAATTGCTATTTTCCACAGGAAAAATTTAAAATTTTGGGAAAATGATCTTCTCACCTTCCTCTTTATATGCAAAAAGTTTCGAAATTTTCCCTTCAGTAGTTTTCCAGGAAAACTTTGAAATGTGTGAGACTGTATTTTCAATTAATTCAGTTTTTGTAGGTTGATTATCAAGATTTTTCAAATTGCTATTTTCCACAGGAAAAATTTAAAATTTTGGGAAAATGATCTTCTCACCTTCCTCTTTATATGCAAAAAGTTTCAAAATTTTATCTTCAGTAGTTTTCCAAGAAAACTTTGAAATGTGTGAGACTGTATTTTCAACTAATTCAGTTTTTGTAGGTTGATTACCAAGATTTTTCAAGTTGCTGTTTTCCACTGGAAAAATTTGAAATTTTGGGAAAATGATTTTCTCACCTTCCTCTTTACATGCAAAAAGTTTCAAAATTTTCCCTTCACTAGTTTTCCAGGAAAACTTTGAAATGTGTGACAGTGTGAGACTGTATTTTCAACTAATTCAGTTTTTGTAGGTTGATTACCAAGATTTTTCAAGTTGCTGTTCTCCATTGGAAAAATTTTGGGAAAATGATCTTCTCAACTTCCTCTTTATATGCAAAAAGTTTCAAAATTTTCCCTTCACTAGTTTTCTAGGAAAGCTTTGAAATGTGTGAGACTGTATTTTTAACTAATTCAGTTTTTGTAGGTTGATTACTAAGATTTTTCAAGTTGCTATTTTCCACAGGAAAAATTTGAAATTTTGGGAAAATGATGTTCTCACCTTCCTCTTTATATGCAAAAAGTTTCGAAATTTTCCCTTCAGTAGTTTTCCAGGAAAACTTTGAAATGTGTAAGACTGTATTTTCAATTAATTCGGTTTTTGTAGGTTGATTACTAAGATTTTTCAAGTTGCTATTTTCCACAGGAAAAATTTGAAATTTTGGGAAAATGATGTTCTCACCTTCCTCTTTATATGCAAAAAGTTTCGAAATTTTCCCTTCAGTAGTTTTCCAGGAAAACTTTGAAATGTGTGAGACTGTATTTTCAAGTAATTCAGTTTTTGTAGGTTGATTTTCAAGATTTTTTCATGTTGCTATTTTCCACAGGAAAAATTTGAAATTTTGGGAAAATGATGTTCTCACCTTCCTCTTTATATGCAAAAAGTTTCAAAATTTTCCCTTCACTAGTTTTCTAGGAAAACTTTGAAATGTGCAAGACTGTATTTTCAACTAATTCAGTTTTTGTAGGTTGATTACCAAGATTTTTCAAGTTGCTATTTTCCACAGGAAAAATTTGAAATTTTGGGAAAATGATGTTCTCACCTTCCTCTTTATATGCAAAAAGTTTTGAAATTTTCCCTTCAGTAGTTTTCCAGGAAAACTTTGAAATGTGTGAGACTGTATTTTCAATTAATTCAGTTTTTGTAGGTTGATTATCAAGATTTTTCAAATTGCTGTTTTTCACTAAAAAAATTTGAAATTTTGGGAAAATGATCTTCTCATCTTCCTCTTTATATGCAAAAAGTTTCAAAATTTTCCCTACAGTAGTTTTACAAGAACATTTTGAAATGTGTGAGATTGTATTTTTAATTAGTTTAGTTTTTGTAGGTTGATTACCAAGATTTTTCAAGTTGCTGTTTTCCACTGGAAAAATTTGAAATTTTGGAAAAATGATCTTTTCACCTTCCTCTTTACATGCAAAAAGTTTCAAAATTTTCCCTTCACTAGTTTTTCAGGAAAACTTTGAAATGTGTGAGACTGTATTTTCAACTAATTCAGTTTTTGTAGGTTGATTACCAAGATTTTTCAAGTTGCTGTTTTCCACTGGAAAAATTTGAAATTTTGGGAAAATGATTTTCTCACCTTCCTCTTTACATGCAAAAAGTTTCAAAATTTTCCCTTCACTAGTTTTCCAGGAAAACTTTGAAATGTGTGACAGTGTGAGACTGTATTTTCAACTAATTCAGTTTTTGTAGGTTGATTACCAAGATTTTTCAAGTTGCTGTTCTCCATTGGAAAAATTTTGGGAAAATGATCTTCTCAACTTCCTCTTTATATGCAAAAAGTTTCAAAATTTTCCCTTCACTAGTTTTCTAGGAAAGCTTTGAAATGTGTGAGACTGTATTTTTAACTAATTCAGTTTTTGTAGGTTGATTACTAAGATTTTTCAAGTTGCTATTTTCCACAGGAAAAATTTGAAATTTTGGGAAAATGATGTTCTCACCTTCCTCTTTATATGCAAAAAGTTTCGAAATTTTCCCTTCAGTAGTTTTCCAGGAAAACTTTGAAATGTGTAAGACTGTATTTTCAATTAATTCGGTTTTTGTAGGTTGATTACTAAGATTTTTCAAGTTGCTATTTTCCACAGGAAAAATTTGAAATTTTGGGAAAATGATGTTCTCACCTTCCTCTTTATATGCAAAAAGTTTCGAAATTTTCCCTTCAGTAGTTTTCCAGGAAAACTTTGAAATGTGTGAGACTGTATTTTCAAGTAATTCAGTTTTTGTAGGTTGATTTTCAAGATTTTTTCATGTTGCTATTTTCCACAGGAAAAATTTGAAATTTTGGGAAAATGATGTTCTCACCTTCCTCTTTATATGCAAAAAGTTTCAAAATTTTCCCTTCACTAGTTTTCTAGGAAAACTTTGAAATGTGCAAGACTGTATTTTCAACTAATTCAGTTTTTGTAGGTTGATTACCAAGATTTTTCAAGTTGCTATTTTCCACAGGAAAAATTTGAAATTTTGGGAAAATGATGTTCTCACCTTCCTCTTTATATGCAAAAAGTTTTGAAATTTTCCCTTCAGTAGTTTTCCAGGAAAACTTTGAAATGTGTGAGACTGTATTTTCAATTAATTCAGTTTTTGTAGGTTGATTATCAAGATTTTTCAAATTGCTGTTTTTCACTAAAAAAATTTGAAATTTTGGGAAAATGATCTTCTCACCTTCCTCTTTATATGCAAAAAGTTTCAAAATTTTCCCTACAGTAGTTTTACAAGAACATTTTGAAATGTGTGAGATTGTATTTTTAATTAGTTTAGTTTTTGTAGGTTGATTACCAAGATTTTTCAAGTTGCTGTTTTCCACTGGAAAAATTTGAAATTTTGGAAAAATGATCTTTTCACCTTCCTCTTTACATGCAAAAAGTTTCAAAATTTTCCCTTCACTAGTTTTTCAGGAAAACTTTGAAATGTGTGAGACTGTATTTTCAACTAATTCAGTTTTTGTAGGTTGATTACCAAGATTTTTCAAGTTGCTATTTTCCACAGGAAAAATTTGAAATTTTGGGAAAATGATCTTCTCACCTTCCTTTTCACATGCAAAAAGTTTCAAAAATTTCCCTTCACTAGTTTTCCAGGAAAACTTTGAAATGTGTGAGACTGTTACTGTACTACTTGATAAACTGCTCTTGTATTTTAACCTCGATTTCAACCGAGATTTTAACTAAGCAAAATAAAAATAGAAAAAATGAGTGAGGATTTTCAGATAATTTGTAAGAGATATTTGTGGGAAATGTGAGAGGAGTTTGAAAGAATTTGTGGGAATTTGGAGGAATTCGTGGTGGTGTATTTGGAGGAATTTGTGATGAGTTATCTGGAGGAATTTCGAGGAATTTTCAGGAATTTTGAGGAATTATTTTATAAATTCCCCTTTGAGGAATTGTTTGCACCAATTCTGGGATGGTGGTTTACCCCTTGGCTCTGGCTGTTTGAAACATCAATTTTGACCCTCAAACTATGATTTCTGATAATTTTAAATTAACAGTTCACATGGAGCAGTTTGAGAAGCTCATTTTACAGCCTGATTCAGTTGAAATTCAACTGAGAAGAATAAACATCTCATTCCCAAATTTTTGACAATTATAGTGATAAATTTAAGTTTTGGCAGTTTGAAACATCAATTTTGACCCTCAAACTACGATTTCTGATAATTTTAAATTTACTTACAGTTCACATAGAGCAGTTTGAGAAGCTTATTTTGCACCCTGATTGAGCTGAAATTCTACTGAGACTGAAAGAAGAATAAAAATCCCATTCCAGACTCTCCTAAAGTAGTTACTCTAATTTCTGACAATTCTAGTGTTAATTTTGAACTATGGCAGTTTGAAATGGCAATTTTGATCCTCAAACCCTGCTCAAACTATGATTTCTGATTATTTTAAAGTTATAGTTACAGCAGTTTGAAAAGCAGATTCCTGGCCAATCAAACACCTGTAATAAATAAAAAATTGTTTACTACAGGCACTTAATTATTTTTAGGAAAATTTTGCAGCCAATCAAAAGCCAGTAAATATGAAAATTTGAATTATCAGCGGTTATTGATTAAAACTCTAGAAAGATCATCCTGAGACTCAAGATCTGGTAAAAATCATAATTTAAACTATTGATTTTATTGTGATTTTCGAGGTGATATCATATTCAAAACACCTAACTTGAGAGAGATTTTTGAAATAAAAGATTATTTAGATAAATAGATACTACACAAAGTATAAGAGACTTGGAAGCTAAAATTATTGACTTTAATTCTTACCCAAATGCGCTTCACATCTTCTTATAACCTCAACCAAATTCAACTTATTAGTTTCTCCACTGTTGCACTTTGAAGGGCCAGCCTCAAAGTGCTCCTCCGAATCCCTTTCGATACCTTCATCGTCGGTTTCGTGATGGGCCTGCAAACTGCCATTCACATCATCAGAAATCATATCAGTAATTAATTGTTCAAGCTCGTTACTGATAATCACTTCTTCGCCTTCGTTGAACTCGTGATCTAATGTGGCATAAATCACTATGCCTATGCCTGCTACTACGTCCTTTTCACAACTGCAAAGAGGAAACGGTTTAGAGAACAAGGTTAATTGTGTTGTGTTGTGCTGTGGGTACCCTCACGCTAAGGAACCTTGCCCACTTACCGCAGTAATTCTCTAGGTTTCTGTCTGGCCAAACAAGTATTTTCGTGTATAGTACCGTCGGTTTTAAGGAAGACATGCTGTACCTCGGTGATATTATGCAAGTGCTCTCTCTGTGCTGACAAAAGCTCGCAAAAATATTTGGAAATCTGATAGCACAAAGCCCAGGCATGTTCCTCCTTGATACAGGAATTGAAGGAACTCAGAATATCACTTAAACACACACTGCCATCAGAATTAACGCTACATTTCCCTTTTTGGGACATTTTTTTCTTAAAAAAGTTCACTTTGCAATTTTTGTTTTTATTTTTCGAGTTTTGTCTAACCTAGAAACGATTGATTTTTTTTTTCTCTGTTTTGTTTTGGGTTTTGACACTTGACACTTCACCTCAGTGTTTCAATATGGAAAATATACGAGTGGGATAAGGATAGAGATGATCGACTCGTTAAAAGACCAAACCAAAATCAATAAATAATTAATCGATCGACTCTTGGAGGAATGCGCCAAAAATTTGAAATAATTTTCAAAGAACGTGAATAAAAACCAAAAAGTGGTTATTTAAGAAAGGTAGGTTGCCTCTGATTGCTATGACGTCATCTGGGGTGCCTCAACATAATGCAAATTTGTCTCCATCATGCACCACTAGATGCGTCATCAATTAAATCGATACGAATTTGTACGAAATGTTTTTTCTATTCCAGGCTCTTTTTCAACAGTACGGAAGGCTTTTGTACAAAGTACCCACTACGATTACTTTTCGTAGGTTTGCTCGGTGAGTTTGTGCAGCTAGCAAATGGGGAATTGGTGGCCCCATTTCAGCTGAACACGCCCCCCTAAAAGGGGTTCCATATGTCTTTGAGCCTGCTCAACTAAATATTGTTTTTTGTAGTCGAGAGCTAAATACGAATTATTTTGGGTGAGAATTAATAAAACAACTAACTTAAAAATAACCGAATATATGTACTGATGGTGACGTCACGCATGGTCAATAACTCGCGACTATCCTGCACTTGTTGCGCCACCTATTATTAAATGTCAATAACTTAAAAATAAAATCGTTCTTTTGAAGATGCCGTATATTCAAGCAACAGAATTCTGCTGTCCTGCTGAATTTTCTTCAGGATTTTCCCACAAATAATGCATTTTTATTACTTTTTAAGTAGTCATTATTCAATCTATTTTTCTAGGAAAAAATTGATTTTCTCCCCCTAGGTGAATAATGAAAATAATGAAAAAATACCTAGGTCCATAATGAAAATGACGTCATGACGCAAGAATATTGTCATGTTTCTATTGGCTTAATTTCAATTTCATACGTCAATTTAAAAAATAAAAAAAAAGGTTTCTGTAGGTACATAGGAAGTTACCATAAGCCGTTGATAGAGGGCAGCACTACTCACCTAAATGATTTTTTTTTTAAAGATTTTCAATGTCTAGAATTTTGATTTTTTAATTTTGCCAGTACTTTAGAGCAAGCTAATCTAAAGTACTTTGGAGCAGGTTACTCTTGAGTATTCGAGCCTACTCTAAAGTGTTTTAGAGTAGAGTGCTAAAGAATATTGAATATTATAAAGTAGCTTGTTCTAAAGTACCTATTCTAGAACAGACTATTACAGAGTACTTTAGAGCAGGCTACACGAGAGTTTTCTATAATAGCCTGCTCTAGAGTAACTATTTTTGCGATCAGTTCTTCGTTTTGCGACGAACCATTACTCACGTGAAAGAATTTTTTGTGAAGATTTTCAAAATGTAGGACAATTTTAATTTTTCAATTTTACCAGTATTCTAGAGTAAGCTTATCTAAAATACTCTATAACAGGTTACTTTTGAATAATTAGGCCTACTCTAGAGTAGTTTGCTTAAGAATATCAAATATTCTAGAGTTCTCTAGAGTAGCTCGTTCTTTAGTACTCTACAGCAGACTATTCTAGACCACTTTAGAGCAGGCTACACGACAGTATTCTATAGTAGCCTGCTCTAGAAAAACTGTTATTGCGATCAGTAACCATTCAGTTCTAGAGAAGTCTGCTCTTCAGAGTACTCAAATAAGCTGTTTTACTCCAGAGTACTCTAGAGTGAAATACTCTAGAGTTCTCTGGAAAAAGCTACTCTTTCTAGAGTGAGCTACTCTAGAATACTCTAGAGTGAGCTACGGTAGAGTACACTGGGATAAGCTACTCTACAGTACTTTCGAGTGGCTATTCTGGAGTAAGCTACTCCAGAGTACGCTGCTCCAAAGTACTTTAGAGTAAGCTACTCCAGAGTACTCCAGAGTGAGCTACTCCAGAGTACTCTAGAGTAAGTTACTCTAGAGTAAGCTACTCCAGAGTACTCTGGAGTAAGCTACTCCAGAGTACTCTAGAGGAAGTTACTCTGGAGTAAGCTACTCCAGAGTACTCTAGAGTAAGTTACTCTGGAGTAAGCTATTCTACAGCTTACTCTAGAGTAGCTTACTACTCCAGAGTACTCTAGAGTACCTTACTACTCCAGAGTACTCTGGAGTAAGCTATTCCAGAGTAAGTTACTCTGGAGAACTCTAGAGTAAGCTACTCCAGAGTACTCTAGAGTAAGCTACTCCAGAGCACTCTAGAGTAAGCTACTCCAGAGTACTCTAGAGTGAGCCACTCCAGAGTACTCCAGAGTACACTAGAGTAAGCTACTCCAGAGTACACTAGAGTAAGCTACTCCAGAGTACTTTAAAGTAAGCTACTCTAGAGTACTCTGGAGTAAGCTACTCCAGAGTACTTTAGAGTAAGCTACTCCAGGGTACTCTAGAGTAAGCTACTCCAGAGAGTAAGCTACTCCAGAGAGTAAGCTACTCCAGAGTACTTTAGAGTAAGCTACTCTAGAGTACTCTAGAGTATGCTACTCTAGAGTAAGCTACTCCCAGAGAACTCTGGAGTAAGCTACTCCAGAGCTTACTCGAAAGTACTGTAGGGTAGCTTACTCCAGAGTACTCTACCGTAGCTCACTCTAGAGTAATTTCCTTCAGAGTATTCTAGAGTAGCACACTCTAGAGTAATCTAGAATAGCTCACTTTAGAGAGCCTTACTAAGAGTAGCTTATTCTAGAGAACTCCAGAGTATTTCACTCCAGAGTACTCTGGAATAGAACAGCTTATTATTGAGTAGTCTGGAGAGCAGAACTTCTCTAAAACTGAATGGTTACTGATCGCAATAATAGTTTTTTTAGAGCAGGCTACTATAGAATACTCTCGTGTAGCTTGCTCTAAAGTAATCTAGAATAGTCTGCTGTAGAATACTAAAGAACAAGCTACTCTAGAGTAGGCCTGATTACTCATTGAAAAATTAAAATTTCAATACACATTGAAAATCTTTACAAAAAATTCTTCCAAGTGAGTAGTGGTTCGGTACGAAACAAAGAACTGATTGCAATAATAGTTAGGTACTCTAGAGCAGGGTACTATAGAATAGTCTCGAGTTGCCTGCTATAAAGTTGACTAGAATGGTCTGCTCTAGAGTACTATAGAACGACTTATTCTAGAGAACTTCAGATTACTCTCAAGTACTGGCAAAATTTGAAAATTGAGTCTTACTCTAAGCATTAATTTTATTTGAATTCCTTCTATTGTTCGAGTTACTTCAATGTTCCAATTGTTTTCATTTCTGTTCCATCTGCACTAACTCTGTTCTGTTTGCACTGTTCTGATTGTTACTATTCGAACTACTCTAATATACTACTATGCTGAGGTGATATGGAATTCGCCTGTGTTTTTGCGCTATTGGTTTAACATTTTTGTCTATGTATAGATGGGACTTCAAGGTTTGAAAATTTTTCCACACCTGTTCATATCTCTGAGTATTTTATTCTTGACATAATCTTGTGTGACATGTCTTGTCATGTGAATTGATCTGAGTTGCAATACCGAAATCTTTGAAAAAAGAAAGGTGGAAAAATTTGAAAAACCAAAAAATTCCCTTCTATTCCTCAAAAACACGATTCATTCGCAGTTGGTTTACAAAAATCATTTTCCGTTCATATCTTTTTCAATATAAATTCTTACAGTTTACAGTAGTCAAAAAATTCAAAGCACTCGAAGAATGTAGCTTTCCTGTTCTGTGTTGTGTTGTGTAAGAACTTTAGAGCACCGACAAAGGCCCCCGTCACAAGTACACTACACAGATTCAGTTTTTAGAGGCGCCCAGTGGCGTAGCAGGCGAATAAAACGAGAGATAGCACTTATGTGTTGGCACCAAAAAATACACAAGTGACGCCACTGTTTCGCAAAAGTCCAAAACCGATAAATAAATTTGCGGCTCTTAAAAGTGTTTATAAAACACACCGACATGCTGATGACCATTTGGATACCGTATCGTACGTCCTTTTCGTCCCGGTCCGTTTTGGTTCTTTTTCTATGCACGCGGACTCTCTATAGTGGTACCGCCGTCTCAGCGAAGAATTTTATACCGGGCGGCGACCAGTTTTCTTGCTTGCTTTTTTTTCCACTGGTTAAATTATATATCGCGAAGCTCATTACGAGATTTTATCAAAGGCTTCATAATTTTTTTTAGGTAGCGGATAATCGTTTCGAAATGTTTGCGTTGTGGTTGTAAAACTTTATTTGATAATCCAGAAGTTTTGGCTAGAACATTACAAAATTAGTTATATTTTTCCACCCCTCTTAACTTTTTTGTGCCACTGTGTGTAGTGTTCGAAAAATAGTTCTCAGAAAACATAGTTTTGTTCATACAAGGTGTTGCAGAAAGTTCAACACCCTGTATATTTTAGCTTACAATAATAGATTTTTTTTGATTCCGAATATGAACCTAGCTAATAACATCAAAATCCTCAGAGATCTAACACTGATTCCATTTAAAAATTGACACCAGAACATGATCAAATATTCAAATTTTTGATAGAACAATAATTGATGAAGGCAACAACATTATTCTATTATGATGTCAATAAACTAACAAATTTCATACTAGATGCTGAAGATACAGGCTCGATTCTCATCCAACGTCAAAATGTTATCGCATATGCTAGCAGAATTTTTTCTAGTGTAGAAAAACGATACAGTCAAATAGAAAAAGAAACAGTGGGTGTACGTGATCCAAACAACATTTCTTACCTTTATGGAACAACATTTTACTTTACATCTGATCATCTTTCTCTTGTCAGAATCTTAGAAAACAACAGATCTTTTCCCAGCACTCGAATAGAGAAACTACTCTTTCCGGTTATATCCGTTGACTTCGTGTACTGTAGGGAAAAGCAGGTGGCGCTCTATATTTATTTAATTGATCCACACCCCTTTTCGCATTGGAAGCTAGTCGGCAACCCTTCACACGAAGTCCCGTTTCTAGATTTCAGCCACCAACCAACCCTCTCTTTTTATTTTTTT